AGCTCACAATGATTGTCTTCGCACGAAAAAATGGCACGAGTAAGTCGAAGGTGAAAACCATGATTATTGCCTTTTTTGATAGCCGTGGAATCGTTCACAAACAATTTATTCCGCCGGGGCAAACCACAAATCAAGTCTACTAACGCCAAGTACTCGAAAGATTGCGAAAACGAGTCAACAGGGAACTGAATCCTTCATCACGATAACACGCCGTACCATACCGCCCTCAACGTGTCCCAATGTTTGGTCTCTATTTGGTCTGAAATGTCACCCTATGACTTTTTTGTTCTTTTACTTTGAAGGGGATTTCAGAGTTCTAGAATGATTTTGAAATATACGGTTATTATGATATCAGTCTCATTACTTAATTGTCACATCTCGTATTATCTAACATAGCCCATAGTTGTTTAGTCGAGAGAAGCTAAAAATTAAACGAGCAGGTCGGTGGTTTTATTAATTCTTATACTATTATGTCTTGTTTAGTGCCTTCCTCAGCGCCTCTACTTCCTTAAAATCCTTGCATATCGTACATTTTTCTTTTGCAACCTATCTCACTTAACGATTTTCTTATCTTTTCAGCTCCCCAGACGTTATGTCAGCTTACAGTTACCACCATCTTGTCACAATATTTCTCATCTTCATCATACTAACGCTCTTGCAACTACTCTACCATCACCGCTACAGTTATTGGTATTACCGTAAGATACCATATCTCGAGCCGACCATATTTTTGGGAAATTTACGACCGTTACTTTTTCTACGCACATCTTTTGGTGATTACTTTCGCGCACTTTACGCTGAACCGACATTCAAAGCAGCGCCATTTTTCGGTTTCTTCATACTGCACACACCCGCTTTGCTCATACGAGATCCACAACTGATCGAACAGTTATTCGCAAAAGAGTCTAATAGTTTTCCCAATCGTTATGAGGCGGCCGATCTTGAGTGTGATACTATGGGCGCTTTGACGTTGCCTTTAGCTAAATACAGCATATGGCGTAAGAGCCGACGAGAGATCTCCAAACTATTCACTAGTGGACATATGAAAAAGAAAATGTATCCGAAACTCATAACGCTCGCTGAACACCTAGAAGGGTATATCACGCGTAGAATGGCACAAGATGATCGCCGAGCAACTGCACATAGCGTGTCAACAGTGATAGAGGTCAAAGAGATGTGTGCGCTGTATACGACAGACGTCACCGCCACTCTATTGTATAGCATCGAAACGGCAGGTTTACTGAATGATGGCTGTGAAATGCGCGCTCAGTGTGAGCAACTATTTCAGCCCAATCTACGCAAGATAATCGATTTCTTTACTATATTCTTCCTGCCCCGAGCAGTGCGTGCGCTTAGATCCAGAGTATTCACGCAACGATATGCAAACTATATGCGACAACTAGTCGAGTTACGCACTAAAATGATCGACGGCGCTCATGAGAGTGGCGACCTTATCGAATTATTGATGAAAATGCAGAAGACCTTGAATGATTTACGGCCGCAAAGTGTTTGGTTGAGGCATCCAGATTTTATTCCAGCGCAGGTGGGTATTTTCCTATTGGCTGGCTTTGAGACATCCTCGTCACTGATCGCGTTCATTTTATACGAGCTAGCGAAGCAGCCGAGTATACAGCAGAAATTAAGAGATGAAATACATGCTTACTCGCGTGGAACACCAAAATCACGTTTAAGTTATAAACAAATACAACATATGCGTTATATGGATATGGTGGTTGCGGAAGGCTTACGTTTATATCCGACAGCGCCTTTCATAAATCGTGAGTGTTTGCCGAAAGGTTATCAGCAAACATTATGGTATGAGCAGAGAAAGAAATGTCTAAATATACCCAAGGGTGTGCCTGCCTACGTCTCTATCTTGGGCCTACACAGGGATCCAAAGGTAAGGTTTGCATAAAGCTCACTCAGTGTATACGAATTATGGTAGTTAAATGAAAAGTATTATGGTTTAGGAACTGTAAACCAAAACACATTCCCATGATGTTGAATTTTGTCGGGTGGGTATGACCTCTGAATAACAAACAGGCTTTCAATCACTTTTGTAACCTCTGGAACTAATTCAAATCTAGTGGAATTCACTGGCACGAGCTAACGGGGGAATTTATAGTCAGTTGAGCTTAATGGTCCCATTACCCCAACGTACTTATACTTATTTAGTAGCCGAAGCATAAAGACATCTTCTTATAATTATAAGTTTTCTAACTAGCCATATACTTGTACTGTATGAATGTGTATAGGGGTTCTTCGTCTCCTCTGAAGTGATTTTCGGCCGACTTCTACCCTGATTTTTTGGTTTGGATCTAACTAACCTGCAGCTGTAGGACGCTCAGGAACAGCTAATTCTTACGAAGGAATATTGGTTGACATTTCCTGCTATGAACTGACCGGTGAGGATTCGAGCCAATGTCCTTTCACATAGTAGTCGCCAAGTTTACATAAGTAAGCAACTATACAAAGTAGATTGCTCAGCAGAAATGAGACATGCAACTATAGGGGACTCATTTACGTACCTAGTCGCAGCGGTGTAGAGAGGAACTTCAGTACAGATTAATGGGAAGGTACGACTAATCAGATACCCGTACAAAGAAGGAATCGGTATGCCTCTGGATACATAGAAGCTGTTACGTAAGGATTTCATGTACAGCAGACTGGGGCAGATTAGTAACAACAAAACTCATTCTCAGGAAAGTCAAATGCAACCTTATTGAAATTTCAACGTAAGAGGGCAAATGACTGATACTTACTGAAGTAAAACTTTATCCCAAAGACCCATAGACAAAACATCGCTTATAGGTTAACATGTAGAAATCATGCTGCAACCTGAATAGAAATGACAAGAAGTCTTAAACGATTTATGCATTTGTATACTCTAAGCAAAAAAAGACTTCGGAATTGCCGCAATTCCAAGCCGCATCTAAATGGACAATGGATTTTCACAAGGAGCTTTGATTTTCATATCAGAAATACGCTACAAGTGCTTAACAGTTCCCGCCGAGGGGCAAGTGGCACTAGAAAAAATAAATTTCTATAATTTTGATTGTTTGGTCAAACAAAGATTCAAACCGTTCCGGCGTTCCGAATGGCAGTGCGCAAGGATAGCCGTACTCTTTAGGTTAAACTAAATTATTGATATTACACTGAGCTTACTACTTAGGCTAAGGCTAAGTTTGTTGATGTTGCAAAACCGGGAACAGCTTCCGGCTTCCCAGCATATCTTTCCATTCAAACTATAATTCTTCTGGTTGCACTCATAATGAACAACATAAAGCGTTGAGTCGAGAAGGCAATGCATTAAGAAATGCCAAAATTTTCAAAGTCAGTAGCTACCGCACTTCTAGCTCCTGAGCTGAGCCACCTCTGTTCTTGATTCACCAGAAAAGTTTATCGTAAATTTTCTCTATGAAAACTGGGAGTGCCTTTTAGAAGATACTCGAATTGCAGAAGCTGAAAGAAAGATGAGGCGGAAGAAACGGTCTGCCATAATTTAGGTGACTACCTTGTTTTGAGCAGAGCTAGCCTTTCATAACTGGAAGCCACTTTCCCTGTTGATATGTCTAATATATTATAGCAGACATCAAGATGCATTTTTAGGAATATTTTTAAAAAAATCGAAACTTTCTGATCGGGTCGAGAAGTGGCCTACTTTGGCCTAAGTGTATTGTTGCTCTCATATCGATAGCCACTTCTACTTAACCTAACCTAAAATTACTTTAAACATTATTTAAACAAATATTTGTTCAATTTTTTAATTTCTTTCAGCACTGGCCCAATCCACAACTTTACGATCCACAAAGATTTTCGCCCGAAAATCTGCCGTCTATTAAACCAATGACTTATATACCGTTCGGTGTTGGCCCTCATGGTTGTGTTGGCAGTCGACTGGGATTACTGCAAGTCAAATTGGGTTTAGTATATATATTAAAGCGACATCGTGTCGAGTTGTGCGAGAAGACAATGAGTGAAATTCAATTTGATCCAAAAAGATTTATGCTGGAAGCCAAAGGAGAGCTATACTTGAAATTTGTGAAGGAAAATTAAGGTGTATGTGTGTGTATATATAAAGTGCTGTGATTATATTTATTTTGTACTAATAAATAATTAATTAAACTAAAATTAAAATAATATTTTTCATTAAAATACGAGAGGGTTGTCTTCTATATTTCGGGAGTNGTATATATATTAAAGCGACATCGTGTCGAGTTGTGCGAGAAGACAATGAGTGAAATTCAATTTGATCCAAAAAGATTTATGCTGGAAGCCAAAGGAGCGCTATACTTGAAATTTGTAAAGGAAAATTAAGGTGTATGTGTGTGTGTGTATATAAAGTGCTGTGATTATATTTATTTTGTACTAATAAATAATTAATTAAACTAAAATTAAAATAATATTTTTCATTAAAATACGAGAGGGTTGTCTTCTATATTTCAGGAGTAGACAACTCTAATGTTGCAATCTGCCAATGCTGGTACTGCAATCTGGCAAGTGGCAACTTTATCGTAAAGTTTGACAGTTTTGATATCAAACCGGAGAACGTACGTTCTCTGTTAAATGTGTCGTCTACAGTAACTTAAAATACTCATATCAGCCACAATTGAAATTATATCGCGAACATTTTGGCGCCATTCTTTTTAAAAACTTTCGAAAACAATTTTCTGCGTTGAAGCTTCATTAAGTAACAGTGTTTATCAATGGTATGGTGAATTCAATCGAGGCCGCAGATCACTCCAAGACGAATTTCGTGCAGGTCGTCAAACGTTAGAGATTTTTTTCACCTTTGCAGACGTTAGTGGGGCCAGCATACATTCAATACAGCCCCAAAGTGACTGTAAAAAAAATTAATCAAATTGGATACCATGCACAGGAGTTGTCAATCGCTCAAAAAAATAGAGGCAAAGGCAACGCTATCTCAGCGAGACAATCGACCATACACCCGTCGGCTGAAACAATAGAATTTTTGAGCACTCAAAACATCGATTTGATAGTTCGTCAGCCACATAGTCCTAACTTGGCACCGCATGATTCCTTTCTATTTCTATTGGTTCAAACGTATGAGAAATTGGAAAGATCTTAATATAGGATATTTTGCACCCGAAATATTACATTTAAGTGAAGACAAAATTTTCCATAATTATACTATAATATGAATTACAATATAAATTACAAATAAATTATGTTGTATGAACATCCAAAGGAGTCCGCTAATCACAAAAAAAAATCTCAAAATAATGGATCTCTTACAACATTCATATGAATACCACCCACAGGCTGTATGATGATGGCACGAGGATCCAATTGAATTTTCTCCGCCGTCTTATCACATACCGTCACATAATGATTCTGATAGAAGTAGAGTAGACCCAACTTCGTTTGTAACATAGCGAAGCGTTCCCCAATACAGTTGTGTGGACCAATACCGAAAGGCATGTAGGCGTTCATATTATTCTCATGCTTGTTCTCCGGTAGGAAACGGTCGGGATTAAAAGATTCAGGATCTTTGAAGTGCTGTAAAAAAGAGAAATTGACTTAAAACTACTTTCCTGCCGCCTAACATAATTGAAAAAAAAAACCTAACCTGCGGATCCATTTGTATAGCCTGCTGTGGTATATAGATCGGCATATTGCCAGGTACATTAAAGTCCATATTGAACGCCTTCAATGAATAACCCTCTTCACCAGCCTTTGGCGTGCAAACGCGGTCGAGGAATGGTAGTGGTGGATAGTGACGCAAAACCTCTTTTACCACATTATCCATATACTTCAGACCCATTATCATTTCATAGGACAACTTGCCATCATTACTCAGGAATGCTTCACGCACCTCCTCACGCAAACGTTGCTGCAAGTCCGGATTACGCGCCATTTCATACATAGTGAACGACATGGTCGTTGAAGAAGTCTCAAAACCCGCAGAGAAGAAAATCGCCGCTTGCGCCGCTAAAGCATCACGTTCCAATATAAATGGTTTCTTACCCTCCTTCACTTCTTCTTCGGCCTCACGTCGAAATTTAATTAAAATATCAATGAGATCATTACGTGTCGTACCTGTGCGCATACGTTCTTCCATCGTTCGATTGATTGTGTCGCGCAGAAAGATGGTGGTATCGGTTGAAAAGACTTTGAAACCGAATAATTTTACCACGATTGGTAAGAAAAAGAAAGCTTTAGCCTCCAGTGATCGTAGCCAGTTGAAAGTGAAAATCTTTTTGCCATTTCTGCGGAAAATACCATTCGGATCGGTTAGACTGTTCGCTTGTAGGCCATAGGCAGTGATTGCTATCACATCGGTTGTGTAGAGTGCATTCGGCTCTTTTACTTCTATCACAGTAGAGTTAGTTTTCGCATCCACTTTCAGTGAGCAGAGATATTTATCATATTCTCGGGCGACCCGTAAGTGAAAAAAATTTCAGTTAAGGAATGAACGAGAAGCTACGGGGGAATGAGGAGTTTTAATCGTAATGCCGTTCGTTAGGGTTGAAATTTAGCGATGCCGCTCATACACCCTGCCAGTTGTATAGTAAATATTATTAACGCTATATAAGCGCTGAGGGGATTTCGACCAAGCTCATCCCATCCTCCAATGTTAGTGCGTTTTGATATTTTTCCCACAACTGCAGTGACCGAAAGTTTATCATAAGTCTCCTCTGAATGGCTGATAAATTTTTTTGAGAAGTTTTTATTTCATGTCAGAAATACACACGAGGGAGTTCACATTCTCTGCCGAGGTGCCACCGTGATTTGAAATGTTGTTGTTAATTTAATAAAATTTCGAATAGTCTTCATCTACAATAGTTTAGCCGAAGTTTAAACCAATGTGGCTCATGCAGCCGTTAATCTTATTTCATTGGGAAAATATTGTAGACACGAACCAATATTGAATATACCAATGTATAGGTTCGGATTTCGGATGGGTATATGGATAATTTGTATTAGTATTGGTATTTGGCGTAATTAATCATAAAAGGGCTTTCATATATGTATTTATATATTAAAGATAAAGACCGTCGTCTATGTAATCTACTAATTTAGCGGTTGCATTTTCTTTTTCTTTGTTTTTTTTTTTCTCTAGCTTTTAAAACACTTAAAATTTATATTTTCGGCTTTGATAACATTTGGGCAAAAAGTACCAACACAAGTGAATGCATAGAGATTATGTATATATATGTATGTATGTAGCTTCAATTAAATATTTTAAATAAAAGCCACAATCTGCTGCACTTAGTATTGTGTGGTAAACGCGTAAGTAAAAACGTTAAAAGAAATTTCCGCTGAATTTCGATAACAGAAAATTTCGAAAAGGTATTTATTATCAAAAGTTTGCAAAAATTTTTGTGAATAAAAAAATGTGTAGATGAATTGTAAAAAAGATGAGGATCTTTTAAAAGTAATAATGACATTTTTGAACTATATGCATGTATTTGTACGTATATATATGAAAACGCGTAGGAGAGTCTATTAAAAAAGTATATAAAGTCTCTATCCCTAAAAAGTGTTCAGTTCTCCAAACATCGTGAAAGACCAAGTTGCGATTTAATTTGAAATATCTTACAAATTTAAAAAATCTACGCAATTAAAAAAGTGTTTTTTTGTTTTTTGTACATTAAACAAGGTGATTTTAGATAGAATTTGAAGCTTTACAGCAGCCCAGGTGAGTTTCGGCAGGGATTCTTCTATTTGTGTTCCAATTTAAAAAAAATTTGAGCCACCTGCGAACGGCTAATTGTTGTTGTTGTAGTTGTTGTAACCGCAAAAACATTTCCCTCAAATTGGGTTTCGAGGAATAATACGGTTGTACTAGTCCTTGGCTGGGTAAAAAATCGGTTTACTTCACTATTATCCCGAATATTGTTGTTGTTGCGGCATTGACAGTTCTTGACGGGATAAAAATTCGGGTTTATCTGATATAAAGACACGACTTTCGCCTCTTACAACAGGCATATATGCGGCAAATCTCTTAAACCTGAACGCCGCAGAGTAGTAATGTCTTCTGTACTAGTCTATAATATATAACTGCTACCAGGACTTGGTGGTGTGCATCTTGCTGCTTTCACAGAGCAAACCAGAGGGACAGTTTATTCTCACCCATCTACGAACGGAGGAAAGATTCTTATGAGGAGCTCTTTTTACGTGTCAAAACTCCACTCAGCAGGTTAATATTCCCAGCCATAGATGTTGGACTCGAATCCTGGTTTTCTGAATGGAATGAAATGGATTATGCTTGCACCTTAAGTAAGTACATACGTGTACATGTGTATGTGTTGCTTAGTTCGTGATCCGCCGGTTTTATATGTGTTCAACAACGAAGAAAAGACGTTTAGCATACGGGGGGCTTTTTTGCTATCTTATACATAATTTACAATATTCAAGTCCTTTACTCTGGTCTCAGTTTGCTTGGATAGATTCTAAAGAAAGTTGGTTTCAAAATTTCGAGGCCTCAAACTATTCGAAGCAGTGCAGTCGCATAGAGAAAGAGTGATCGTTTCCCCCTTTTTTATTTTATAAAGAGCTAAGGTCAAAATCCTTCTACGCCAAGTATTATCTTGTATATGTTTACCGTATTTTTAGGTGTTTGCTTCCTCTCTTATTTTTCTGCCCTTTTTCAAACAATTCTACTTGGACTTCCCTAAAAAAGTGATCTGGTTCCACCCCCACGCGTACTGTTCGTAAGCGAGTTTGTTAAAAATCAGCTCGCGCTTATCAATTCGTTCGTTTCCTTCGATGCGCCCATGACCGACACCACTGTAAGATCTACTTGTTCTATTTGACGACAATTTAACAGAAATTCGTGAATTTTATCNTGAGAAGTTTTTATTTCATGTCAGAAATACACACGAGGGAGTTCACATTCTCTGCCGAGGTGCCACCGTGATTTGAAATGTTGTTGTTAATTTAATAAAATTTCGAATAGTCTTCATCTACAATAGTTTAGCCGAAGTTTAAACCAATGTGGCTCATGCAGCCGTTAATCTTATTTCATTGGGAAAATATTGTAGACACGAACCAATATTGAATATACCAATGTAGGTTCGGATTTCGGATGGGTATATGGATAATTTGTATTAGTATTGGTATTTGGCGTAATTAATCATAAAAGGGCTTTCATATATGTATTTATATATTAAAGATAAAGACCGTCGTCTATGTAATCTACTAATTTAGCGGTTGCATTTTCTTTTTCTTTGTTTTTTTTTTCTCTAGCTTTTAAAACACTTAAAATTTATATTTTCGGCTTTGATAACATTTGGGCAAAAAGTACCAACACAAGTGAATGCATAGAGATTATGTATATATATGTATGTATGTAGCTTCAATTAAATATTTTAAATAAAAGCCACAATCTGCTGCACTTAGTATTGTGTGGTAAACGCGTAAGTAAAAACGTTAAAAGAAATTTCCGCTGAATTTCGATAACAGAAAATTTCGAAAAGGTATTTATTATCAAAAGTTTGCAAAAATTTTTGTGAATAAAAAAATGTGTAGATGAATTGTAAAAAAGATGAGGATCTTTTAAAAGTAATAATGACATTTTTGAACTATATGCATGTATTTGTACGTATATATATGAAAACGCGTAGGAGAGTCTATTAAAAAAGTATATAAAGTCTCTATCCCTAAAAAGTGTTCAGTTCTCCAAACATCGTGAAAGACCAAGTTGCGATTTAATTTGAAATATCTTACAAATTTAAAAAATCTACGCAATTAAAAAAGTGTTTTTTTGTTTTTTGTACATTAAACAAGGTGATTTTAGATAGAATTTGAAGCTTTACAGCAGCCCAGGTGAGTTTCGGCAGGGATTCTTCTATTTGTGTTCCAATTTAAAAAAAATTTGAGCCACCTGCGAACGGCTAATTGTTGTTGTTGTAGTTGTTGTAACCGCAAAAACATTTCCCTCAAATTGGGTTTCGAGGAATAATACGGTTGTACTAGTCCTTGGCTGGGTAAAAAATCGGTTTACTTCACTATTATCCCGAATATTGTTGTTGTTGCGGCATTGACAGTTCTTGACGGGATAAAAATTCGGGTTTATCTGATATAAAGACACGACTTTCGCCTCTTACAACAGGCATATATGCGGCAAATCTCTTAAACCTGAACGCCGCAGAGTAGTAATGTCTTCTGTACTAGTCTATAATATATAACTGCTACCAGGACTTGGTGGTGTGCATCTTGCTGCTTTCACAGAGCAAACCAGAGGGACAGTTTATTCTCACCCATCTACGAACGGAGGAAAGATTCTTATGAGGAGCTCTTTTTACGTGTCAAAACTCCACTCAGCAGGTTAATATTCCCAGCCATAGATGTTGGACTCGAATCCTGGTTTTCTGAATGGAATGAAATGGATTATGCTTGCACCTTAAGTAAGTACATACGTGTACATGTGTATGTGTTGCTTAGTTCGTGATCCGCCGGTTTTATATGTGTTCAACAACGAAGAAAAGACGTTTAGCATACGGGGGGCTTTTTTGCTATCTTATACATAATTTACAATATTCAAGTCCTTTACTCTGGTCTCAGTTTGCTTGGATAGATTCTAAAGAAAGTTGGTTTCAAAATTTCGAGGCCTCAAACTATTCGAAGCAGTGCAGTCGCATAGAGAAAGAGTGATCGTTTCCCCCTTTTTTATTTTATAAAGAGCTAAGGTCAAAATCCTTCTACGCCAAGTATTATCTTGTATATGTTTACCGTATTTTTAGGTGTTTGCTTCCTCTCTTATTTTTCTGCCCTTTTTCAAACAATTCTACTTGGACTTCCCTAAAAAAGTGATCTGGTTCCACCCCCACGCGTACTGTTCGTAAGCGAGTTTGTTAAAAATCAGCTCGCGCTTATCAATTCGTTCGTTTCCTTCGATGCGCCCATGACCGACACCACTGTAAGATCTACTTGTTCTATTTGACGACAATTTAACAGAAATTCGTGAATTTTATCGGAAGTCACCACTTCTGCTTAATTTTGTATCAATTCTATGTTTTTGTTGTTGTTGTTGTTGTTGTTGATGGCGTTGATAATCCTGCTACGAAGCAAGCAAAGCTCGTCATCAAAGCCATTTAGCGGTAGAATTAAGTAACGAGTTATTTCGCTCTCGGGTGTGGACCAGAGGGAGAGCGGTGTCGGATGAGCCGATTTTAGCAGACATGCAGACAGAGCAGCTTACTGATAGAGTAATTGAAAGAGAACTCTGTCCACGGGTGCACCTTTAGATAGTTACACATCGCTACATAAGATAGCCTTCAAGGAACGTAGTTTTTATTCTATTTAAAAGGTAGCGAACCAGTCTATGCAATGGAGTGGCGGTTGCTTTTTTCTTTTTGGCAATCATGCTGATCGGCACACAGCACGTCTTCGTCGATTTCAAATCAGCCTTCAAAAGCACGAAAAGGAGTTGTCTCTACGCCGCTAGGTCTAAACTTGGTGACCTCACAAAGGTTGTACAGTGACGTAAACTGAATTGGGAAGGATCTGAATAGAGAAGGCACAACACAATAGATGAGACTTAAATTTGAACCTTTAAATGCTTAAAAAGTATCTTCAAGACGATCTTTAGCCATTCCCGTATTGACTTTAAGGAATGGCTAGTTGTTTGGTTGGTTGTTGGTTGAAAGATAGTCGAGGATTTAATGACCTGACCTCAAGTAGTCACATTTCAGTAGTAGTGAAGCTATTGTGCTCTCGTGTACATCCGAGTTATGCGTTGCTTGACAAACATTCTTTAGCTTTAGCTTGAACCAACGTGAAGACATCTCAATTGCCTGAAAGTTGGGCACCCACAAAGATAGTGCTCCAGCTTAACATTTACTTCTGTGTTCACTCTGCCTTCAGCCACTTTCACCTAGTTTTTTGAAGAAAATATCTCGAGGCTAGATTCCGCTTTACATTTCCTACAATAATATTAAATTCCCTTTTGCTCAGTGCAAATAAAAGTTTGGGTTGCCTGAAATCCACAATACATCACAGAACTTAGTGGTACATGCCAATATGGAAATGCAAAAGGACCTTGAGTGTTCCTCTAGCGTTCACTGCTTTAGGAAACATTTGAAGGCGCTGAAAGGTGTCTGAAGCTATTGATGGTGCCGCACCTTCAGTAATACCCACAATCTCTGCTTGGAATACAGAGTTGTGGTTTTTTAGTTTGCTCCGTATCCTGCCTCGTATTTAAACCCATCAGTGTCTGTACAAATATAAATATCTTCAGTATTACTGCCGTCCGTTCAAGGTTTCCTGTTCGAAAATGAAATGAATAGAATAAATCAATCTCACAGTAGGTTATTGTTGTTGTAGGAGTGACAGTTTTTGGCCGGAAAAAAATTCAGATCGTTTCGGTAAAAACACCCGACCGTCGCGGAAAAAATTCGATTTTAATCGACTCTTACGACAGACATGCCTTGAATTGAGTTGAGTTGATGCGGCTGCTGGTCAACCTCAGCACACTTAGGCTAATAGGCCCATTATGATACCGCTGAGGCTCCTGCCTTCACCTTCTTAAATGGTTCGTTCATTTCGTGTGCCTTATAAAGGCAACGAGATTTCCAATGCTCACTGAGGTCAACCTCAGGCTAGACAGTGGCAGTAGTAGTGCTCGATGATCTCCTCCTCTTCTTCGTCCATACAGTAAAATCCCGTGAAGCCTCATTAAACAAGGTCCAGTTATTATACCAGTCGTTATGTTAACGGAGAACCGGTCCAGAAGCATAAAAACTTTAGATTTTTGTGCGTCCAACATCAGTCATAGCTGTCTGGTCGCGTTACACGTGATCTCGTTCAACCATCGTAAGTCAGCTTCCTTGGTGAAGGCCATTTTAAGCATGTACTTTGCCGTGGGCAGATCATGTGCCTGTTTTATTGTAGATAGAAGGGTTCCTTTCCTAGCTAGTTCGACTGCCATGCCTTACCATGGGTAAATTCTTGAGCCAGCTCTTTTGAGTCCTTCAAAGTTAGGTGATTGCACCACATTGTTTAGAACATTTAGACGGTAAGAAGAACTGAAATTAAGAATGACTTCCGGAGATAGTTTCCATCGCATCGACTTTGAGGAATACAGATCCCGACCTAATTTTCATTAAAACTATCTGAAACTACAGAATAATAGCAGGCATCTTGGTAATTTGCTGCATTCTGTCAGCTCTAATTATTACTTGGTCACTACAAATGTGGCAAATTTATTTCCCCAAAAGTGAGCTCTATCGGTGAACAAATTTTTTTTTTGCGAAAATAGGGAACGGTGTCCATCTGGTTTTGGACCATTCACCGAACGTGCGTCGCTCTTGTCGATTTCTCGGCTTCAATTCTTATACGAGTTGCATTTTGTAAGCCCACAAATTAAGATCTAGAAACAAAATCTTTCATAAAGTGGATGGGCCTAGCTTAAATTGCGGTGCGTGTTGGCGAGGATCGACTCACACGGATCTTCTGTAATACTCTGCTACACAGCAGCAATAGCATGGTCGATATACACAGTACGGTCTCTCTGAGGATGCGCATTATCAACTAGAGTAAGCGTGATATGAAACCGTTCCACGGCTGCTCAAGTTACCCACTCTGCTGGGCGATTAGGTCGACACACGAATATTGGACACAGTACGTGAAGAGTTACTGAGGCCACCTATTTACCATATTTTGTTTAACAAATCATTATTCTCTCATTTTTTGTTTTTATTTTAATATTTTTTTGTTTGTTTTTGCTCTGAGAGATAACCAAAATTTAATTTGCAAAGTCATTGAGTGCAAAGAACACATAGTAGACTGCCACAATCACCTAAATATTAGACATTCTTGGAAGTTTCTGCAAATTGTTTATAATTAATCTGTTTCTTATCAATTGTTTAGCTTTCGTTTTCAATTGTTACCAATTGATTATGCTATGTTATCAGCAGGTTTTTTAATGACTTAGCGAGCAGCTTTCTAAAACAAAACTCTTTGGGAAGAAACTCTTAAGCCCTTAAGTACGAGCCTGATATCAATTTCATTCTAACGATTTTATCAGTTATGATTTATGGAATATTTATAAAAATAATAATTATATGTTAAAAAATAAAAACAATCGTTGCTGCCATAAAAAAAAACCGCAAGTTATGCCTTCAGCTACCATATAATTGTCGCTTCATAGCCGCTGAAGCGATTCTCGGCCGCGCTACACCTCTAATTTATGGTGATGTTCTTTCACCAAATGAAGGGACCTATAGTTTATTCCAAGCTCCCTCGCAACGGCTGATCGACTTTTAGAACTCTCCTTCTATTTCCTGTCAGAACGCACGCTCAAATGACTACTTTTTCTATGGGATCTGCGTAATTTAATGCCAGCTATGGTAATGAACCTCAGGTAAAATTTTGATCTGCAAAAGATTGACAGAAGGTTCGTTCCTTGCAGGACAATATAAAACATTCGCTCGAGGCTTTGGATAATTTTGAAGCTTTTGAAGCTATTTTGGCCAGGCATTTGTCACTTCGATATTTATCATTGGTATTTCCAGGTTTCTATAAATATTTTCGTTGCACAAACACCACGGTGCACCTGTGAGGTTTCGATTAAAATCGTTGTCGTTAACGGATGCTAGTTGCGCAGACAGGGAATGTAAGGCCCTCTGAGTGTATTTCTGACATGAAATTAAAGTTTTTCATTAAAATACATCGGTTGTTCGGATTCGGTTTAGTACAACATAAACTGTTCCCTCCATTTATTGGAAAAAGCATCAAGACGTTTGCGGAGACAACCATTGTGACCCTGGGCATGAGTAAGAGCACAGTCACCATGCATTTTTACAATTTCAGCGCACGTTTTCGAAGCTGTATCGCCCAATTTGCAGCAGGCGAACTCCATAAGCTAGAGCGATAACAAATATATCAATGGAGAGGAGAAGGATGCCGGGAGAAGAGAAAGGAATTTCAAGGTCGCTGGGTTGCCACAATCGCGGCAATATAATCAGTATCATTACCTTATTGTCAGATCTCGTGCACCTCAGGGTTTTCAGCTCACGAGTACTTATTATACATTCGACGGGGTGGCACCTAGTTGACCGATGGTTAGTGGAGTTTAACCTCCGCGATCTTAACGAACTTACTGCAAAAAAGTAGAAGTAGAGTTTATTCGGAAAAGAACCCAGTTGGGTACATGTATGTGAATTAATGAAATAAAGACATTTTTTTATGTAGTAGATGAATAGAGATTCATTATTTTGGCCACCCTCGGTATAATGAGCATAGTCCAGCCAAACTGTAAAGATTTTGTTTGATAGGTGTGAAATGAAAATCTTTTGGAAGTTTCAACTCAATATCCTTGTCTAATTGGTAATGCGATGGACTCGGTTCTATAGTCATATATTAGTAGAGGAAAGGCGATATTTTGGATGGCAGCACTTTTTCAAAAAGTTTGGACGGGTAACCTGCTAGTTGGTCGATATGTTGACGTCTGCGTCGTGGCTTTTCCGGGATAATCAGCGACTCTTCCCACGCATTTGGAAAATATCCAATTTCAAAGAAGGCATTAAAAAGTTTAAACAAAGCCATTGAAAGCAATATGTGGTAGTTCTGCTAGCATTTGTGGTATTATGTGGTCGTAACCAGGCGGCCAGGTGGATTTAACGTTTTTGTTATGACTTTTATCTTAGATGATGTGAAACACAATAGTCCTAGAAGCATAGTGAGACAAAGATGGAATCGTAAAATTATCCCTTGTTGCATGAATTGGAATACTTCGCTAAGGTGATTTTCATAACATTTTGCCCTTTCCCAATTGGACCGGGTGCAAGAAATGGTACTCTGTCTGAACAGTCTCTCAATTCCTACTGGGGGCTTAAAGTTATTTTCGATCTTCCATAGTAAATTTCTTTGAGAAAAATTCGGCGACAAAATGGAGATATTTCTCTTATTAAGTGCGCCTCTTCTTAACATTTCTTCTAAGGTTTTTTTTTTTGTATTTTTAATTTAATTAATTTTATATGAACGAATTAAATTATTCTGTGATTCTCGGCGCAGTCTACGCCCTTCGATTACGAGGTGATAATTTGGCCTGTTGCTTGTTCGTTCTGTACTTTCGAGACCCTGTTTTTATTGTTGCAACCGCAAAATTATTCCCCAAAGTGCTTTTTGGGGAATGTTGCGGGAGTGACAATCCTTGGCCGGATAAAAATTCGGGTCGCCTCTTTCGACAGGCATGCCTTACCGCGGGTAAATTCTTGAGCCCCTAACCCGCAGGGGGTGTTGTTACATTTTCCGCTGTGGCTGCTAAGATATGTATTGTACTCAAGTCAATTCATTTTGCACGTTGTCAGGCGAAATGGTTTCTCAAATATTATCGGTCGTACGAATAACTCGGTCATAATTGGCGCAGGATCGGAGGGAAATTCGGAACCGGCTTAAGTAATGATAAGGTTTCAATTAAAGCTTTTGCCTGGATTACCTTGGAGAAAAAAAATTTCCGCAATTTTTCATATTGATTTGGGCTCTTGCGGCCGTCATTATCATCTTCTACCTGTAGATGAAAGAATGCAGTGTGTAAATATATGTGGAGCACTACAGACTACACCTCCTGATTCTTTTCTGCTTGCTCATACATTATGTGGTTATGTAATTCCATGAGATTTCCACTGCCATGCAAGATGGTCTACTGCAAAACTATCATCGGCTTTACAGAACTGACCTAATAATATTTAATTCGCTTAAGGCTATAGAAAATCTTACACAAGGGTAATGTGAGCTCGAATATTGATGAGGGACAGGGTAAGAACACCTAAAACTCCTTCTCTGACACCGTCAAATGCCTAGTTTTAAAGGTACCTAAGTAGGTTTTATCTATATTCCTTTCGATCAATCAGTCAGCACTAAAAGCTGAAAGAATTGNAAACTATCATCGGCTTTACAGAACTGACCTAATAATATTTAATTCGCTTAAGGCTATAGAAAATCTTACACAAGGGTAATGTGAGCTCGAATATTGATGAGGGACAGGGTAAGAACACCTAAAACTCCTTCTCTGACACCGTCAAATGCCTAGTTTTAAAGGTACCTAAGTAGGTTTTATCTATATTCCTTTCGATCAGTCATTCAGCACTAAAAGCTGAAAGAATTGAAGCAGATAACTTGTACTGAAGACCTGGCAGTTCATTTTGAACCTGTTGTAAGGTGTATAACATAAGGCGAGCTTACAAAGAGCGGCACTTCCTTTTAACTTGCGCCATCGTGACGGAAACATTTTTTTTTGGAATGTCATATGGATCGTAAAAAGGAAGAAGAAATGTATAGCAATGGGTGTACTTGAAGATCATCTTCTATTGGGCAAAGACTGGTCGCGCCGTAAAATTACTTCGGCAGGAATTTTACGGTTATAAACTGTAGACATTTTCTTTGTTAAGGGTCAGCAACTTTAAAACTTGTGCGAAATTGCAGAAAGAAAAATTGAAATGAAGAGAGTGCTTAGCTATGGTACTCTATACGACAACCCAGAAACCGATTAAAAAGACCCTAATGTAAGCTAAGTCCATATTTGACGAACACGCACGAAAGTCGAGTGAGAAAAAACTTATTAAATATTCTGAATCAGCTTCGAGCTTTAGAGGAACCTAAAGAAAGCAGAGAAACTTGCTTAACTCTAAACAGAATATCTGACGTGCACACTTTAAATCTTCCATGCAAACATTTGGACGTCGTCGACTTAACATTGTGCAGACATCATTATTTATTATTATTTACATGAATGCCAAGCTCCTCTGCCAGTTTGTGGTTTCCGTCCTGATAAGTCCACAACGAATGGAGGGACCTACCGTTTATACTGATGGATTTTTATAAGGAGATTTTATTTCATGCCGAGTTGTGGAGTAATAACAAAAAATAATTTCCTATGTAGATTTTGGTCGGATCGGAACTCGAACCGGGTCTTCCGAATGGTAGTACCCAACACTAACCACTTCGCTTCATTTCTTATAGTTTGAAGTTGTCTTCGCTCTATCGACCATGACTTCTGTGAAATCGATGTAAGAAAGGGTGCGACGTTATGCGTGAAATTGAAGTTTTTTAATGTTTTAACTTTTAATAAATGGAAACCAAAATTAAAAAAAAAACATTATATTTTTTATAAGAAGAAACTGACAATTAAAATAATTTTAACAAAATTTCTCTTTTTTTCTTAGTTCAAACGATGCTGCCAACAGATACCCTCTTCCTACTGGCGGCCCTCGTCGGGCTATTCTATGTATGGTGTCGCTACACCTACGGTTATTGGCAGCGACACAAGATTCCCTACATCCAACCAATACCCATAATTGGAAACACAAAAGTCATGTTCACGTTGAGTAAAAGTTTCTTCTTGTATCTCTCCGATGTTTATGACGATGATAAAATGTCCAACGCCGCTGCAGTCGGTATTTATATATTGAATAAGCCAGCGATTGTGCTACGCGAACCGGAACTAATTAAGTCTGTGCTAATTAAGGATTTCCAAAAGTTCTCCAATCGTGCTGGCGCCTGTGATCCACACGGAGACGCCTTAGGTTCGAACAACTTGTTTTTCATGCGTAATCCACAATGGAAAGAGTTGAGAACGAAAATTTCACCGATCTTCACAACGGGCAAGATCAAGAATATGTATCCGCTTATGACGGAGGTAGGTTAAACGTTATCTTTAGTTGAAGAAACAAATATTTAACAACAATAAATTTTCTTTCCTGCCCACCGCCAACAGATCGGTCAAGAGTTAGAAACCAATTTGAAAACGTATGCTAAGTCAGGTGATTCCTTCGTGACCGAAGTCAAAGAGGTATGTGCACTCTTCACTACCGATATGATAGCATCGATCGCTTTTGGTATTAAAGCCAATAGTTTGGCTAATCCGAATGGCGAGTTTCGTAAGCAGGGCCGAAAAATTTTCGATTTTACACTTCGTCGAGCGATTGATTTCTCCATCGCATTCTTCTATCCGAATTGGGTATCGAAATTGCGCATAAAATTGTTTACCCCAGAGTTTAGCACATTCCTACGCGGCACCATCAGTCATGTAATGGCCGAGCGAGAGAAGAGTAAGGCTACACGTAACGATCTAATCGATGTGCTGGTGAATATTAAAAAAGAGGCTATCGAAAATGGTGAATATAATGCCAAGATGCAGGATGTATTGGCAGCGCAAGCTGCACTATTTCTGACAGCTGGCTTCGAAACGTCATCCTCAACAATGACATTTACCTTGTACGAACTATCTAAACGGCCCGATTTGCAAAAACGCTTGCGCAACGAAATATATGAAGCATTAGTGGCTGAAAATGGTAAATTATCTTATGAGACTATTAGCAATCTGCCATATCTGGGCATGGTGGTGGACGAAGTGTTACGTCTCTATCCCGTCTTGCCGATACTCGATCGCCAACATTTGCACAAAGATGGAGAAAGTCCATTTGATCTAAAACCATATTACGATTATACAGTACCAAAGGATATGTCTGTTTATATACCGTTGTTTGCTATACAACGTGATCCTAAGGTGAGCTCGTGCACTACTCATTACCGTCTCTGTGCCCGACTTTAACAAAGTTAAATATAATTTCTTTTCTCTACTTTAGTATTGGCCGAATCCGAACACCTTTGACCCGGAACGCTTTAGTCCCGAGAATAAGAATACACACCCACCAATGGCATACATGCCATTCGGCAATGGTCCACGTAATTGTATCGGCAGTCGTATTGGTTTGCTGCAATCAAAACTTGGTTTGGTTCATATTTTGAAGGATCACTATGTTGCGACTTGTGCGAAGACGCCGGAGGAGATAACCTTTGATCCATTTTCTTTCGTTTTAAGTTATAAGGATGGCATTTACTTACGGTTTGTCAATGATAAGCTCTACGAACGGAGTGCAAATAAATGAGAAATTGGTTTAGTAGTGATTAAAAAAAAACTATGTTATGAGATTGCAAATCAAAAACTTTTTTAATTCAAAATAGAACGCAGAGCAGCGGGGGTGCTCGTAGCCTAAACCTTATTTAAAGAATGTTGCCGGCTTCCAAAAATTCCAGTTCGACCACTTTTTGCACTTTTGCACCGTATTACCTATCGACTCGAGCTTATATGCGTATACAACCCACTTCACATGACCTCGAGGTCATGCGCTCACTAAAAGTTTACTACAATAAATTGATTGCTTCGTCGGCTGTATGGCATATAGCGACGTTTTCTTGCAACCAAAGGTCGTCCACAACAACATCCTCCATGTCCACGAGTGAACACTTCTCCAGTCTGCTGAACTGCACTGAAAGGGCAACAGTCGGAGTAGGCAAGCCGGAAACCCTTATCAATATTCCATTACCCGACTATGCTGAGATTCGAATAGCCATTGCTCGTTTAAAGAACAAAAAAGTGGCTAGAGCTGATGGCTTACTGGTAGAATTATTAATATATGGCGGAGAAGAGCTGACAAGGTTGATGCATCTACTTTTTGAAGGATATCATCGGACAGAAACACGCTCAACGATTTGAACGTAAATGGGATATATGCCAATTGGTATAAGCCTCCTCAATATCGCTTATATGTTCATATTCGCACTCTCGTCTAGGTGCTCACTTGTCCGCATCGCATCGAATATGTTCTGAAAGCTTTTCAGGTTAGTGGCTTTAGTTTTGATGAACTATATGTGTATCTTATGCCTCAGGGTTAGAAGACACGCTTGAAGCATACTCAGCTTTGAAAGTTGCATCAGTGCGATTCCACTTACTGGTGTTTTAGTCACATTTTGTTTCCAATTTCGGTTCATCTTCCTAGAGGAATTTCTATATGCCACGTCGCTCGACTAATAGAGGGGAGGATTCGCTATGGAGCGACTTGTCGCATTTTACGTCGATATATTAAATTGAAAGCGTGTTATATACAGCTTGTGCAAGAATTGAAGCCGCTCGACCTTCCAAGTTCTTGAAAAGTTCCAAGAAGATCCGAAATTATCGAGCCTAAGTTTGTTCAGAGATTAGGTCCATTTCTGGCTCAATGGTTATTTATGTAAACAAGCAAAATTTGGTCATTTAAGACGAAGAGCAATTCGAAGAGATTCAAGAGCTGCCATATCATCCAGAAAAAAACCGTTTAGTGTGGCTTTTGGGAACGTAAAAATAAATGGTGACCGTTATCCCGCCATGGTAACTGACTATTGGTTGCCTGAAATTGAAGCTCCTCTCACTTCAATCAATGGAGCTATTGAGACAACAGTTCAGTAAACAGTTATTTTCACGTTTTGGGCCGGTCCATTCCCTACCAAAATCCTATGATATCACACCGCCAGACCTTTCCTTGTAGGGATATGTAAAGTTTAAAGTCTATACGGGCAATCACGCTTCGATTCCGAAGTTGGAGCAAAATATCACGCACGTCATTCGCCAGTTAACACCCGAAATGTTCGAGCGAGTCATTAAAAATTGGACTCAACGGATGGGCCATCTCAGACGTTCAAAAAGTAAATGTCTACTGTTGATTTTGATTATTAATTTTCCTATAAAAAATTAATTTAAATAAAAAATTAAGGTAAATTATGTGATTGTGGTCGCCCCTCGGCAGGGAATGTCAACCCCTGCGAGTGTTCGGAGGCGGCTTAGTATAAACTGTAGATCCCTCCGTTTGTTGGAAAACCCTCAAGTCGCAAAACCACAAATTGTAGGAGTAGCTCGGGGGAAAATCGCTTCAGCGGTTGAACAGCGCCAATTATATATTACATACATATGTATAAGAACATCGATGAGATTGTGCTAAATAGTATCGAGCACAAAAGCACGTGGTAAACATCAGATAAGTATCGAGTTTTTATGTAATCGATTTAAAATTGCTCATACGTAGTTCGAGTGCTCCATTCACTGGTAATAGAACTTAGCTTTGTTCAAGTTAATGCTTTCTTTGAGACTGACACATGATTACTTTATGATCGCTCGTTTGGCACACGCGATCAACTTGAGTGACACTCCAAGTCATGAATTTGACATGCAAACTTAAGTTCAGTTCAGCCACTAAACTCTTATAAAATTATAATGAACATATTTATTGTTGGAAACAGCAACATTTCGTACTTCAAGCTGTTCGAAAAATGAAATAGAAAAAAATCTCGAAAATTATCCAACACACGCAAAGGTGCTATTGACCCAAGTTTAAATGCTTTAAACACTCAATTGACATACAAATTAAATAAATTAAATACTTTTTTATAAAACATACTAACGCTGCTGCACTGGCCCTTGAAGGCCCTTAAAATGTATTGGATCTAAGTAACTTTCACTCATTCGCTTACTACACACGGTCAAGTTGGTTTGGAAAACAAAACAGCAACAGAGAATTGGCGTTTACAGCTCACGCTCCCTTAGAGGACTACGCACTACATTCAGGTGTATGCCACCCTCAGCTTGTATCACAACGGCTTTAGGATCCAATTGCATGGGTATCTTGGTGAGCGGACAGGTGGTGACTTTGTGATTGAGCAGGAAATAGGTGAGTCCGATTTTCGTCTGCATCATAGCGAAACGTTCGCCAATGCAAGCGTGTGGGCCCAAGCCGAAAGGCATGTAAGCGTAAGGTGGCAGTTGTTTCTTATGCTCGGGTGCAAAACGCTCCGGATCGAATTTTTTCGGTTGGGGGTAAAACTATACGTAGAAAAACAGTGATGGTGTTATTAAATGAGAGTTCCTTAAAATAAAAAAAATAAAAACTTACTTTCGGATCCATGTGTAGACCATAAACGGGTACATAAACTGGCATACCATGTGGCAGCCGATATTTGTGATACGGTTCCAGCGAGTAACCGCCCTCTTCAGGCGGCGCGGTATATTGACGATCAAGAAATGGCAGCGGTGGATACATGCGCAACACTTCATCAATTACCATCTGCATATAAACCAATGTATCCAGATATTCGTAAGTGACTTTACCGCCACTAAGCGCTAAACCTGCCGCAATTTCATTACGCACACGCTGCTGTAAGTCCGGTTGTAACGCCAACTCATACAACGCAAAGGACATAGTCGCCGAGGAGGACTCGAAACCGGCAGTGAAAAAGAGCGCCGCCTGCGCGACCAATATATCACCCTCGTAAATGACGCCACTAGCAGATGTTTTGCTTTTCGTCGAATTTTTGAACTCAATTAGTATGTCAATGAGATCATTGCGCTTTGTGCCCGACTCCTCACGGTGCTTCATTACATAATTGATAGTGTTACGAAGAAATTCGGAAGAGGCTGGCGGCACAACTTTGAATTTAAGATACGGCACTAGATGCGGCATAAAGAAGACGAATAAGAATTCTAATGTACGACGCACACCAAACTTAAAGACGGCACGTCCATGTCGTCGAAACTCGCCATTGGGTACTTTAAAACAGTTCGCTTGCACGCCATAAGCCGTGGTGGCTATCACATCTGTGGTGTAGAGTGCGCAGAGTTCTTTCATTTCCATCATGAAGGACTTCGTTCCGTCACATCCAATGCTTTGGGAGAGCAAATATTTATCAAGCTCACGTCCGACCTGTGGGTTAAGGAGAAATGCGTTTAATTAAGCTTATAATTCAATCTCATTTAGGGGCAAGCTCTACGTGGGATCCTTTATAAACAGGTTTAAAGTAATAGACATTGGAAGAGGGTATGGAAGAACTTATAAATAGTGGAACAAAACTGTTTTCTACGATAGTAAATTCGTCGGAGTGTATAGCCTAATGCAAAAGCCCGAAGAAGTGTGAACTAGGTTTTTAGCGAAATCACACAAGGTCTTGAGCTTCATTGTGTGAAATGAAGAGCCGTAAGCGATACTATTTTAAGCGAGACTTTTGACCACCAAGCTTTAGCCTACATAACAAGCTTCTGCAATTCTCCAAAAGAACTCTGGAATCACTCAGTTTTAAGGGATAATCCACATTATAATTTAAAGCTTGTTTACCGATAATAAAGTTATGAGTATAATATTAAAGATCCTCTGGACCGAATTTGGCTTTGAGCTTACTAACACATTCTTTATATTCTATAAAGCCTATCTCCAGTGAACATTTCCTTTTTCGTCTGTAACACTGTGATTCACCCACTTCAACAGTCGAGTTCTTAGCATTTAGCACCCTGGGGCACCAACCTTTAAATAATAGAAAATTACTTTTTACAATTGTAGGCACCCGTCGACAAGGAATGACCCCTCAGAGTGTATTTATCACATGAAATAGAGTTCCTCATTAAAACCCATGAGCCGTTCGGAGGAGCTCGTTGAAGAAGGAACTCGGACGAAAATCGCTTCAGCGGTTACAAAGCGCCGCTGATAATGGACCATCCTGGGTTCCAGGACGCTTTCAAAACCTATCATTGATCATTTCTTTTCTTAAAATACACATGGGAGCATCAAGAGCTTCTGAAAACTTAAAAATTTTAATTTGAAATAGAAAATCTTCAGTTGAACCTATGAGAGAATATTGAGCTTCAAAATAAGACTTACCTCCTCAACTAATGGAAACATTTGTTTCAATTTTCCACTGGAGAAGAAAGGCGTCAACTTGAAACGCACCTCTTTCCAAGCGGGATTACGCAGAAAAAAAATATTTAACGAACCCAATGGATCACATTTGGCATCGGCATTGGAAAATCTAAAAGCAAACAAAGGCAGATTTATGTAGTACTCTTTCGAATAGACAATCTCTCAATTTCCACCGAACTCACCTGTCGCAGAACTTGGTAAAATCCTTCACTAAAATGCGTTTCACAAGCTCAGGATCACGCAACAAAATTGCCGGCTGCGTAAAGACATGCAAGCCAACAAAAGGCTCATTCCTACCCTCCGAATGATTATACAAATTTTGCACAAACTCTGCTGGATTGGTTTGCATCGAAAGTAATTCACCCAAATTTCCAATACCATATGTGGTGGGCAAATACGGCACTTGATGGCGCTTCCAGTAGTCATAGCGATAGCGCAACCAACCGTAAGCCAAAATAAGAAGGAGCAACAGGAGTAGTAAAGTTTCTAACCACATTGTGTGTCACTGTTGACAACACGAACGGTACTAAGATGCCACACGCCCGGTGTTGGGCGATTTATTACTGTGCATCGTGTGGGTTGTGCGCCCTTTGATTTGATGTATTTCGGATCATGCGTTATTTTCGGAAACAACGCTTCATTTTGGACCGGTAGTGAATGTATAATGAGCAAACTGCATGTGCGAGAAACTTATGAATGAGTTGAGAATTATATTTGTATTGTATTTGTTTATATGTATGTATGTACTTACACGTTTGGGATTTTTGCATAAATGGGAGATTGCCGAGTTGTGATTACTTTAATATTTTTTTTTTTACTTCACGATTAACAAACTTATGCCCCTTACACATCGAAAGTGCTTAAAAGTCGGTACAACATGCGATCTTAGATCTCTCCTGAAGGTATGAAGCTCGTGGTATTCGTTGGATCTGCTGATTTTCTGACCCTTTCGCTAATAAGTTTAAGTAGATTGACGCTAAAGCTAGCAATTATAGATGTTTAAAGACTTTTACAAACCCAACACTGGGGTTGTCAAGAAAGGAGACCTCAATTGAAGTTGCTGGTTTTAATAAAAACCTACCCATTAAGATTTTTGTTAAAGCTTCCGCCGCCTTTCTTATTTTATAGGAAACGAAGGTTCTCTCTCATAAAAATCCATCTACTTACGCAGGCGGCGTGGTATACACGTAGATACCATTTTGGAAAAACCTCAAAACCCACACCAGGAGGAGGAGGTCAAAAGCCTCGTCAGCGACTCAAAATCGCCTATTTTATAATATATACATTCCTTCTGTAGACAATTAAAAAGCTTCTACATATCAAAAACGCTAACGGATTCGCGGACTAACCCCAAACATTACTCTTATATAGAGGAGCTGTAGAGCATAAGGAGCGTATCCTAAGTGTTTTCTGAACATAAGATGAACGTTCAGCAATATCCCCAATAATGTCATCGTGTATAGACTGGAAGAAGCGCTGACAAAGCCTGCTATTCTCCTATAGATAAGGTTGCTATGAACTACGAAACGAAAACATAAATGCGAAGTGGGAAGTGGGTTAAACCCAGACTGCACATACACTCAAGGGAGTATATTGTTAACGCTCTTGTGGCCACTTACAGCTTCTAAAAAGTTCCGAGTCTCTTTCAGGCTACTCGATCATTGCAGTGTTGCCGATACCTGAAGAGATGGCCAAAAAGAACGGATTATCTATCTCTCATTTGAGTGCATGGTCAAAGGGACGTAGAGAGAAATTTTAAGGCACTTGCCATGCAAGGCACAACCCAGCTGATTCTTCCTGACAACGAACGCGTTGGTATGCTTTTTGCTACATGAAAACTGCTACTAAGAAACTCTACTGGCTGAGCAGGCTGAATAAAATGGAACCACACTGCAACTTGCTAGGCAAACTTGAGCGATACATCTCTAACACTGTAGAAGATGTAAGGACGGTGAGGAGCAAGAAACAGAATCTCATCCTCTATATGACTGCCCAGCCTCGAACAGAGCTAAGTGACGATATCTAGGAGCTGCGTTAATGGATGATTTGTATAAGATAGCAAACATCAAGATGAATCATCCAATGAAATTTATGACTTAATCGAAGTGAAGGATAGTGAAGCTCAGTGACTGGATAAACACCGTGGTATCGCAAGTATTTGTATTGATGCTCCCAAATCGATAGCCACTTTAACCTGACCTAACACGGCAAACGCATGTAGCTATATTACGAGATGGGACATTTAAGTAATGAAACGGATTATATTGCCACGATCGTGGTAACCCTGCGGCCTTAAAATAGCCTTTCCTTCTCCTCTCCATTGATATATTTGCCATCGCTCTAGCTTGTTTAGTTCGCCTGCTGTGTCGTGTTGATTGAACGTGTGTTCGTGGTGCTCGTCGATGAAATGCACGAAAATGGAAAAATCAGGACCCGGAAACCAAGTGCCAAAACTCATAATGGTTGCCTCTGCACGCTCCCCGCACGAAAAAAATGGCATGAGTAAGTCGAAGGTGAAAACGATGATTATTGCCTTTTTTGATAGCCGTGGAATCGTCCACAAACAATTTATTCCACCGGGGCAAACCGTTAATCAAGTCTACTAACGCCAAGTACTCGAAAGATTGCGAAAACGAGTCAACAGGGAGCGCCCAAATATCGCTCGTAACTGGATCCTTCATCACGATAACACGCCGTACCATACCGCCCTCAACGTGTCCCAGTGTTTGGTCTCTATTTGGTCTGAAATGTCACCCTATGACTTTTTTGTTCTTTTACTTTGAAGAGGATGACAGTGTTGTAGAATGATTTTAAAATATACGGTTTTTATGGAATCAGTCTCGTTACTTAATTGTCACATCTCGTATTATCTAACAGAGCCCATAGTTGTTTAGTCGAGAGAAGCTAAAAATTAAATGAGCAGGTCGGTGGTTTTATTAATTCCTATACTCTTATGTCTTGTTTAGTGTCTTCCTCACTTAACGATTTTCCTATCTTTTCAGCTCCCCAGACGTAATGTCAACTTACAGTTACCACCATCTTGTCACAATATTTCTCATCTTCATCATACTAACGCTCTTGCAACTACTCTACCATCACCGCTACAGTTATTGGTATTACCGTAAGATACCATATCTCGAGCCGACCATATTTTTGGGAAATTTACGACCGTTACTTTTTCTACGCACATCTTTTGGTGATTACTTTCGCGCACTTTACGCTGAACCGGCATTCAAAGCAGCGCCATTTTTCGGTTTCTTCATACTGCACACACCCGCTTTGCTCATACGAGATCCACAACTGATCGAACAGTTATTCGCAAAAGAGTCTAATAGTTTTCCCAATCGTTATGAGGCGGCCGATCTTGAGTGTGATACTATGGGCGCTTTGACGTTGCCTTTAGCTAAATACAGCATATGGCGTAAGAGCCGACGAGAGATCTCCAAACTATTCACTAGTGGACATATGAAAAAGAAAATGTATCCGAAACTCATAACGCTCGCTGAACACCTAGAAGGGTATATCACGCGTAGAATGGCACAAGATGATCGTCGAGCAACTGCACATAGCGTGTCAACGGTGATAGAGGTCAAAGAGATGTGTGCGCTCTACACGACAGACGTCACCGCCACTCTATTGTATAGCATCGAAACGGCAGGTTTACTGAATGATGGCTGTGAAATGCGCGCTCAGTGTGAGCAACTATTTCAGCCCAATCTGCGCAAGATAATCGATTTCTTTACTGTATTCTTCCTGCCCCGAGCAGTGCGTGCGCTTAAATCCAAAGTTTTCACGCAACGATATGCAAACTATATGCGACAAATAGTCGAGTTACGCACTAAAATGATCGACGGCGCTCATGAGAGTGGCGACCTTATCGAATTATTGATGAAAATGCAGAAGAACTTGAATGACTTACGGCCGCAGAGTGTTTGGTTGAGGCATCCAGATTTTATTCCAGCGCAGGTGGGTATTTTCCTATTGGCTGGCTTTGAGACATCCTCGTCACTGATCGCGTTGATTTTATACGAGCTGGCGAAGCAGCCGAGTATACAGCAGAAATTAAGAGATGAAATACATGCTTACTCGCGTGGACCATCAAACTCACGTTTAAGTTATAAACAAATACTACATATGCGTTATATGGATATGGTGGTTGCGGAAGGCTTACGTTTATATCCGACAGCGCCATTCATAAATCGTGAGTGTTTGCCGAAAGGTTATCAGCAAACATTATGGTATGAGCAGAGAAAGAAATGTCTAAATATACCCAAGGGTGTGCCTGCCTACGTCTCCATTTTGGGTCTACACAGGGATCCAAAGGTAAGGTTTGCATAAAGCTCACTCAGTGCAAACGAATTATGGTAGTTAAATGGAAAGTATTATGGTGTAGGAACTGTAAACCAAAACACATTCCCATGATGTTGAAGTATGTCGGGTGGGTATAACCTCTGAATAACAAATAGGCTTTCAATCACTTCTGTAAACTCTGGAACTAATTCAAATCTTGTGGAATTCACTGCCACTAACTAGCCATATACTATATGAATGTGTATAGGGGTTCTTCGTCTCCTCTGAAGTGATTTTTGGCCGACTTCTACCCTGATTTTTTGGTTTGGATTTTACTGTTTTTCCAACAAACCTGCAGCTGTAAGACGCTCAGGAACACCTAATTCTTACGAAGGAATATTGGTTGACATTTCCTGCTATAAACTGGCCGGTCTGGATTCAAGCCCAATGTCCTTTCACATAGTAGTCGCCAAGTTTACATACAAAGTAGATTGCTCAGCAGAAATGAGACATGCAACTATAGGGGACTCATTTACATACCTAGTCGCAGCGGTGTAGAGAGGAACTTCAGGACAGATTAATGGGAAGGTACGACTAATCAGATACCCGTACAAAGAAGGAATCGGTATGCCTCTGGATACATAGAAACTGTTACGTAAGGATTTCATGTACAGCAGACTGGGGCAGATTAGTAACAACAAAACTCATTCCCAGGAAAGTCAAATGCAACCTTATCGAAATTTCACCGTAAGAGGGCAAATGACTGATACTTACTGAAGGAAAACGTTATCCCAAAGACGATTGGGATATGGACAAAACATCGCTTATAGGATAACATGTAGAAAGCACGCTGCAGCTGAAATAGAAATGACAAAAAGTCTTAAACGATTTATGTAATTCTATACTCTAAGCAAAAAAAGACTTCGGAATTGCCGCAATTCCAAGCCGCATCTAAATGGACAATGGATTTTCACAAGGAGCTTTGATTTTCATATCAGAAATACGCTACAAGTGCTTAACAGTTCCCGCCGAGGGGCAAGCGGCACTAGAAAAAATAAATTTCTATAATTTTGATTGTTTGGTCAAACAAAGATTCAAACCGTTCCGGCGTTCCGAATGGCAGTGCGCAAGGATAGCCTTATCCTTTAGGTTAAACTATCATTTTTGATATCACACAGAGCTTACTATTTGGGCTAAGGAAAAGTTTGTTGATGTTGCCAAACCGGGAACAGCTTCCGGCTTCCCAACATATCTTTCCATTCAAACTATAATTCTTCTGGTTGCACTCATAATGAACAACATAAAGGGTTGAGTCGAGAAGGCAATGCATTTAGAAATGCCAAAATTTTCAAAGTCAATAGTTACAGCACTTCTAGCTCCTGAGCTTAGCCACCTCTGTTCTTTATTCACCAGAAAAGTTTATCGTAAAATTTCTCTAAGAAGACTGGGAGTTCCTTTTAGGAGATACTCGTATTGCAGAAGCTGAAAGAACGATGAGGCGGAAGAAACGGTCTGCCATATTTTAGGTGACTACCTTGTTTTGAGCAGAGCTAGCCTTTCATAACTGGAAGCTACTTTCCCCGTTGATATGTCTAATATATTATAGCTGACATCAAGACACATATTTAGGGAAATTTTTAAAAGAATCGAAACTTTCTGATCGGGTCGAGAAGTGGCCTACTTTGGCCCACTTTGGTATTGTTGTTCTCATATCGATAGCCACTTCTACTTAACCTAACCTAAAATTACTTTAAACATTATTTAAACAAATATTTGTTAAATTTTTTTAATTTCTTTCAGTACTGGCCCAATCCACAACTTTACGATCCAGAAAGATTTTCGTCCGAAAATCTGCCGTCTATTAAACCAATGACTTATATACCGTTCGGTGTTGGCCCTCATGGTTGTGTTGGCAGTCGACTGGGATTACTGCAAGTCAAATTGGGTTTAGTATATATATTAAAGCGACATCGTGTCGAGTTGTGCGAGAAGACAATGAGTGAAATTCAATTTGATCCAAAAAGATTTATGCTGGAAGCCAAAGGAGAGCTATACTTGAAATTTGTGAAGGAAAATTAAGGTGTATGTGTGTGTGTGTGTATATAAAGTGCTGTGATTATATTTATTTTGTACTAATAAATAATTAATTAAACTAAAATTAAAATAATATTTTTCATTAAAATACGAGAGGGTTGTCTTCTATATTTCGGGAGTAGACAACTCTAATGTTGCAATCTGCCAACGCTGGTACTGCGATCTGGCAAGTGGCAACTTTATCGTAAAGCTTGACAGTTTTGATATCAAACCAGAGAACGTACGTTCTCTGTTAAATGTGTCGTCTACAGTAACTTAAAATACTCATATCAGCCAAAAATGAAATTATTTCGTGAACACTTTGGCGCCATTCTTTTTAAAAACTTTCGACAACAATTTTCTGCGTTGAAGCTTCATTAAGTAACAGTGTTTATCAATGGTACGGTGAATTCAATCGAGGCCGTAGATCACTCCAAGACGAATTTCGTGCAGGTCGTCAAACGTTAGAGATTTTTTTCACCTTTGCAGACGTTAGTGAGGTCAGCATACATTCAATACAGCTCCAACCTGACTGTAAAAAAAATTACTCAAATTGGATACCACGCACGCGAGTTGTCAATCGCCCAAAAAAATAGAGACTCGTTGCGTAGAGAAAGCTTGGAAACACCACTATGATATCGTTAGTGGTGACTAAATGAGGATTTACGTGTATGAGCTTAAAAGTAAACAGCTCTCGGGTGTATGGATGTTTAACGTTCAGCTGAACCCAATAAAATTTGTTCGCGCACGAAGCACTTCCCACCGAGTTGTTGCTTGTATTTTTTTATATTTTTTTTTTTTTTGGAAAAGCTAGAAAAGTCGCAACTGTACCCACGAGAGTTCAGTTGAGTTAAGTTGATGCGGCTGCTGTTGCCAGTACACTTATGCCAATCGGCCCATTGTGATACCGCTGAGGCTCCTGCCTTCACCTTCTCAGATGATCGAACCATTTTGTGTGCCTTATAAAGGCAACGCTATCTCAGCAAGACAATCGAAGAAATTTTTCCCAAGAAGTTTGTGTCGCGCTGATGTCAAGGCTAGACAGTGGCAGCGGTAGTGCTCAATGGCCTCCTCCTCTTCTCTATAATTGCAGCTGCGGCGGAGATCATTAGAATGATATCCCCTTCTTTTCCCGTCTCTCTGAAAAACCAACAAGCGAAGATACATCACTCTTCAATATATTTGCCAGCTCACACTCATCGGCTGAAACAATAGAATTTTTGAGCACTCAAAACATCGATTTGATAGTTCGTCAGCCACATAGTCCTAACTTGGCACCGCATGATTCCTTTTTATTTCCATTCTTTGACACCGGCATAGGCGGTTGATGCGTTTAAAACGCATGTTATGGAGACACCTCAATGCTTGGACAATTGGTTCAAACGTATGAGAAAATGGAAAGGTCTTAATATAGGATATTTTGCACCCGAAATATTACATTTAAGTGAAGACAAAATTTTCCATAATTATACTATAATGTGAATTACAATATAAATTACAAATAAATTATATTGTATGAACCTCCAAAGGAGTCCGCTAATCACATAAGAAATCTTAAAATAACGGATCGCGTACAACATTCAAATGAATACCACCCACAGGCTGTATGATGATGGCACGAGGATCCAATTGAATTTTCTCCGCCGTCTTATCACATACCGTCACATAATGATTCCGATAGAAGTAGAGTAGACCCAACTTCGTTTGTAACATAGCGAAGCGTTCTCCAATACAGTTGTGTGGACCAATACCGAAAGGCATGTAGGCGTTCATATTATTCTCATGCTTGTTCTCCGGTAGGAAACGGTCGGGATTAAAAGTTTCAGAATCTTTGAAATGCTGTAAAAAAGAAAAATTTACTTAAAACTACTTTCCTGCCGCCTAACATAATTGAAAAAAAAAAACCTAACCTGCGGATCCATTTGTATAGCCTGCTGTGGTATATAGATCGGCATATTAGCAGGCACATTAAAGTTCATATTGAACGCTTTCAATGAATAACCCTCTTCACCAGCCTTTGGCGTACAAACGCGGTCGAGGAATGGTAGTGGTGGATAGTGACGCAAAACCTCTTTCACCACATTATCCATATACTTCAGACCCATTATCATTTCATATGTCACCTTGCCATCATTACTCAGGAATGCTTCACGCACCTCCTCACGGAACCGACGTTGCAAGTCCGGATTACGCGCCATTTCATACATAGTAAACGGCATGGTCGCTGAAGAAGTTTCAAAACCCGCAGAGAAGAAAATCGCCGCTTGCGCCGCTAAAGCATCACGTTCCAATATAAATGGTTTCTTACCCTCCTTTGCTTCTTCTTCGGCCTCATGTCGAAATTTAATTAAAATATCAATGAGATCATTACGTGTCGTACCTGTGCGCATACGTTCTTCCATCGTTCGATTGATTGTGTCGCGCAGAAAGATGGTGGTATCGGTTGAAAAGACTTTGAAACCGAATAATTTTACCACGATTGGTAAGAAAAAGAAAGCTTTAGCCTCCAGTGATCGTAGCCAGTTGAAAGTGAAAATCTTTTTGCCATTTCTGCGGAAAATACCATTCGGATCGGTTAGACTGTTCGCTTGTAGGCCATAGGCAGTGATTGCTATCACATCGGTTGTGTAGAGTGCATTCGGCTCTTTTACTTCTATCACAGTACAGTTAGTTTTCGCATCCACTTTCAGTGAGCAGAGATATTTATCATATTCTCGGGCGACCCGTAAGTGAAAAAAATTTCAGTTAAGGAATGAACGAGAAGCTACGGGGGAATGAGGAGTTTTAATCGTAATGCCGTTCGTTAGGGTTGAAATTTAGCGATGCCGCTCATACGCCCTACCAGTTGTATAGTAAATATTATTAACGCTATATAAGCGCTGAGGGGATTTCGACCAAGCTCATCCCATCCTCCAATGTTAGTGCGTTTTGACATTTTTCCCACAACTGCGGTGACCGAAAGTTTATTATAAGTACCTCTGAATGGCTGATAGATTTTTATGAGAAGTTTTTATTTCATGTCAGAAATACACACGAGGGAGTTCACATTCTCTGCCGAGGTGCCACCGTGATTTGAAATGTTGTTGTTAATTTAATAAAATTTCGAATAGTCTTCATCTACAATAGTTTAGCCGAAGTTTAAACCAATGTGGCTCATGCAGCCGTTAATCTTATTTCATTGGGAAAATATTATAGACACGAACCAATATTGAATATACCAATGTATAGGTTCGGATTTCGGATGGGTATATTTACGAAGATTTGGATGTTGATATGGATAATTTGTATTGGTATTGGTATTTGGCGTAATTGATCAATAACGTACCTACATTTATAAAAGGGCTTTCATATATATAATTATATATTAAAGATAAAGACCGTCGTCTATGTAATCTACTAATTTAGCGGTTGCATTTTCTTTTTCTTTGTTTTTTTTTCTCTAGCTTTTAAAACACTTAAAATTTATATTTTCGGCTTTGATAACATTTGTGCAAAAAGTACCAACACAAGTGAATGCATAGAGATTATGCATATATATGTATGTATGTAGCTTTAATTAAATATTTTAAATAAAAGCCACAATCTGCTGCACTTAGTATTGTGTGGTAAGCGCGTAAGTAAAAACGTTAAAAGAATTTTCAGCTGAATTTCGATAACAGAAAATTTCGAAAAGGTATTTATTATCAAAAGTTTGTGAATAAAAAAATGTGTAGATGAATTGTAAAAAAGATGAGGATCTTTTAAAAGTAATAATGACATTTTTAAACTATATGCATGTATTTGTACGTATATATATGAAAACGCGTAGGAGAGTCTATTAAAAAAGTATATAAAGTCTCTATCCCTAAAAAGTGTTCAGTGTTCCAAAAATCGTGAAAGACCAAGTTGCGATTTAATTTGAAATATCTTACAAATTTAAAAAATCTACGCAATTAAAAAAGTGTTTTTTTGTTTGTTTTTTTTTGTGCATTAAACAAGGTGATTTTAGATAGAATTTGAAGCTTTACAGCAGCTCAGATGAGTTTCAGCAGGGATTCTTCTATTTGTGTTCCAAATAAAAAAAATTGAGCCACCTGCGAACGGCTAATCGTTGTTATTGTAGTTGTTGTAACCGCAAAAACATTCCCTCAAATTGGATTTCGGGGATTAATACGGTTGTACTAGTCCTTGGCTGGGTAAAAAATCGGTTTACTTCACTATTATCCCGAATATTGTTGTTGTTGTTGCGGCAGTGACAGTCCTTGACGGGATAAAAATTCAGGTTTAGCTGATATAAAGACACGACTTTCGCCTCTTACAACAGGCATATCTAAAACATGCGGCAAAATTCTTGAACCTTAACGCCGCAGAGTAGGAATGTCTTCTGTAATAGTCTATAATATATATAACTGCCACCAGGACTTTGTGGTGTGCATCTTGCTGCTTGAAACAACGTGAAGACATTTCAATCGCATGCAAGTCGGGCACCCACAAAGATAGTGCTTCAGCTTCACATTTACTTCTGTGTTCACTCTGCCTTCAGCCACTTTCACCTAGTTTTTTGAAGAAAATATATCGTGGCTAGATTCCGCTTTACATTTCCCACAATAATATTAAATTCCCTTTTGCTCAGTGCAAATAAAAGTTTGGGTTGCCTGTAATCCACAATACCTCACAGAACTTAGTAGTACGTCCCAGTACGCGTTGAGTTACTGAGGCCACCTATTTACCATATTTTGTTTAACAAAATATTATTATCTTATTTTTTATTTTAATTTTAATATTTTTTTGTTTGTTTTTGCTCTGAGAGATAACCAAAATTAAATTGCAAGGTTATTGAGTGCAAAACACATAGTAGACTGCACAATCACCTAAATATTAGACATTCTTGCAAGTTTCTGCAAATTGTTTATAAATAATTTGTTGCTTATCAATTGTTTAGTTTTCGTTTTCAATTTTTACCAATTGATTATGCTATGTTATCAGCAGGTTTTTTAATGACTTAGCGAGCAGCTTTCTAAAATAAAACTCTGTGGGAAAAAACTCTTAAGCCCTTAACCCTCCGTCCGACACCATGGTCTGGCCAGACATTTTTCGTTTTTGGAGATAAATTTAATATACTTAAAATTTAGATAGCGAATTGTGCTCCTAGGTACCCTCCTAAAATTTTATTGGCTATCGATCTGTGCAATAAAAACATATACCTGTTTTTTTAAAAAAATGACGAAAAAAAGGATTTTAAAAAACCTACCCTTCGGTCCGACACCTGGTGGCTGGCCAGACTCCTATATATTTTGTTTGGCGACATATGAACATATGTATAATTTTGATGATTGTATTGGTTTTTCTCGTTCTTTTTGTTGTAATTGCATACTCACACTGCCATGTTTACGTAGTAAAAGTCTCAGTACCGATTTTTATTCTCGATTGGGCAACGCTTTAGTGAATGATTTCAATCGAAATTCAGAAAATGTTGAAGAAAATCTTGCATTGAACGACTACGACGATGGTGATGATATTAGAGATTTAGATTATGTGCTGGATGGTGACGCCTCAGATGTTGAAAACGAATTGGTTATTGAACCGAACGAAATACTCGACAGTGATTAGGAAATTGAAGACGAAGAACAACGTGCAACCGCTCCAGTTATTCAACGTGAAGCTACGGCCGAAAATTTCTTTGGTAAAGATGGCACAGAATGGAAAAAGGAGCAAACCCCAAGCCATATGCGCCAGCATAATATTATGCGATTCAGACCTTGTCCAAAACTTTCAACATCGGTTCCGATTGAGGTATTCAAAAGTTTTTTTGCACCGAATATTTCATTCATTATTATTACCGAAACAAATCGAAATTTGCAAAAATTGCTACTCAAAAATGGAATGAAGAAAATCCAGATTCAAAGCCAAGAGTTTGGGTTGATTTGACTAGTACTGAGCTTGATGCATTTATTGGTATACCTTGTTGCTGCTGATGTTAGAAACAATAATATGGAAGAGTCAGCACTTTTATGGCGTTCCGATGCTTTGCCCATCTTTCGTGCTGCTATGTCATATAGACGATTCCTTGCATTGGCCCGATATATGCGTTTCGATGATAGTCGTCCGACAAAGCGGCTCCTATTCGCGATATATGGAATTTTTTGAACGAAAACCTCGCCAAAAATTATGAGCCGCATGAAAACGTAACCATTGACGAGCAGTTGTTTCCATATCGTGGTAAAACTAAATTCACCCAGTTTATTCCATCAAAACCACCTAGATATGGAATAAGAGTTTGGTGGGCAGGCGATTCAAAGACATAATATCCATTGCAAGGTAAATTATACACAGGCAAAGAAGGCAAGGAGCGTGTCACAGTCACAGTGGACGAACGATTGTTGCTGATAATTTTTTCACAACATTGAATGGAGCTAAACGGCTGGCCAATATTGGGCTCGCATTTGTCGGTACAGTTCGAGCCAACAAAGCATTTTTACCGCCTGAAATGAAGAAAAATCCACAGCGTCCATTACGCTCATCTTTGTTTGGTTTTCATGAAAATTTGGTATCGCTTTGCAGATACGTGCCAAAAACGTTGAAAACCGTATGAACAACTCAAAAGTCATAACTCAATTCACAGCTCGAGTTGCTGTTGAATCTTTCTTTGGAAAACCAATAAACATTGCACCAAATTTGCTGACAATGCATCGCAGTGGATCAGATACACTCACCAACAAGAGAGGCAATCTGTTGTTTGTTTACATGGCGAAGAAAAGCTTCGGCGCAAAACTCGTTTCTTTTGTACAGCTTGCTCAAATCCAGTTTGTGTACAGCATTCTAAAGCCAGTTATACATGTTTTACTTGCGTTCCACAGACCGATGCTAGTTAGGATCAAATTTCATAAGAAAATCCATTCAAATCCGTATATACTGCGCGACAAGCGATTAGCACACAGTATGCAGCTCGTCTTAGAAACTTAATATCAGGAACAAATAATTTTTTTTTCCCTTACAAGAATATATCATTTCACACGAAAATTAATAGAAGATGGGATACTAACTTTATTAATAACATTTTAAATTAATATAAACAAACATAACATACAAAATTCTCTATTATTTTTGCGGCAGCCGATTAGCACAGTCACTTGAATACTTAAAATAACAAAAGAAAATGGGTTCAAACTTCATTCAAACTGTTTTTTAATATTAATTTAAATATTTTTAACTTTTTTTTTTTTTTTTTAATTGATAATGTGTTGAGCCTCCCCATATAGTACTTTTTCCCATATAAACCTATATAAATATATAGGGGTCTGGCCAGACGAAAGTATATAAAGTGTGGTGTCGGACGGAGGGTTAAGTACGAGCCTGATATCAATTTCATTCTAACGAGTTTATCAGTTATGATTTATGGAATATTTATAAAAAGAATAATTATATGTTAAAAAATAAAAACAATCGTTGCTGCCATAAAAAAAAACCGCAAGTTATGCCTTCAGCTACCATATAATTGTCGCTTTATAGCCGCTCGGCCGAGCTTCTCCTCTAATTTGTGGTGATGTTCTTTCAACAAATAAAGGGACCTATAGTTTATTCCAAGCTCCCTCGGAACGGCTGATCGACTTTTATAACTCTCCTTCTTTTTCCTGTCAGAACGCACGTTCAAATGACTATTTTATTTATGGGATCTGCTTAATTTAATGCCAGCTATGGTAATGAACCTCGGGTAAAATTTTGCTCTGCCAAAGATTGACAGAAGGTTCGTTCCTTGCAGGACAATATAAAACATTCGCTCGAGGCTTTGGATATTTTTGAAGCTTTTGAAGCTATTTTGGCCAGGCATTTGTCACTTCGATATTTACCATTGGTATTTCCAGGTTTCTATAAATATTTTTGTTGCACAAACACCACGGCGCACCTGTGAGGTTTCGATTAAAATCGTTGTCGTTAACGGATACTAGTTGCGCAGATAGGGAATGTAAGGCCATCTAAGTGTATTTCTGACATGAAATAAAAGCTCCTCATTAAAATCCAGCGGTTGCTCGGATTCGGTTTGGTAGAAACTGTAGTTCCCTCCATTTATTGGAAAAAGCATCAAGACGTTTGCGGAGACAACCTTTGTGACCCTGGGCATGAGTAAGAGCACTGTCACCATGCATTTTTACAATTTCAGCGCACGTTTTCGAAGCTGTATCGCCCAATTTGGCGCAAAATTTTATCGCGACAACGAATGGAGGGACCTACCGTTTATACTGAGGGATTTTTATAAGGAGATTTTATTTCATGCCGAGTTGTGGAGTAATAACAAAATATAATTTCCTATGTAGATTTTGGTCGGATCGGAACTCGAACCGGGTCTTCCGAATGGTAGTACCCAATGCTAATCATTTAACTTCATTTCTAATGGTTTGAAGTTTTGTTCGCCCTGTCGAGCATGACTTCTGTGAAATCGATGTAAAACAGGGTGAGACGTTATGCGCGAATTGATTTTCATTGTTTTAACTTTTAATAAATGGAAATAAAAATTAAAAAAAAATATTATCTTTTTTTTAAGAAGGAACTGACAATTAAAATAATTTTAACAAATTTTCTCTTTTTTTCTTAGTTCAAACGATGCTGCCAACAGATACCCTCTTCCTACTGGCGGCCCTCGTCGGGCTATTCTACGTATGGTGTCGCTACACCTACGGTTATTGGCAGCGACACAAGATTCCCTACATCCAACCAATACCCATAATTGGAAACACAAAAGTCATGTTCACGTTGAGTAAAAGTTTCTTCTTGTATCTCTCCGATGTTTATGACGATGATAAAATGTCCAACGCCGCTGCAGTCGGTATTTATATATTGAATAAGCCAGCGATTGTGCTACGCGAACCGGAACTCATTAAGTCTGTGTTAATTAAGGATTTCCAAAAGTTCTCCAATCGTGCTGCCGCATGTGATCCACACGGAGACGCCTTAGGTTCGAACAACTTGTTCTTCATACGTAATCCACAATGGAAAGAGTTGAGAACGAAAATTTCACCGGTCTTCACAACGGGCAAGATCAAGCATATGTATTCGCTTATGACGGAGGTAGGTAGTTGAATAAACAAATATTTAACAATAATAAATTTTCTTTCCTGCCCATCGTCAACAGATCGGTCTAGAGTTAGAAACCAATTTGAAAACGTATGCTAAGTCAGATGATTCCTTCGTGACCGACGTCAAAGAGGTAAGTGCACTCTTCACTACCGATTTGATAGCAACGATCGCTTTTGGTATTAAAGCCAATAGTTTGGCTAATCCGAATGGCGAGTTTCGTAAGCAAGGCCGAAAATTTTTAGAGTTTACACTTCGTCGAGCGATTGATTTCTCCATCGCATTCTTCTTTTCGAATTGGGTATCGAAATTGCGCATAAAATTGTTTACACCAGAGTTTAGCACATTCATGCGCGGCACCATCAGTCATGTAATGACCGAGCGAGAGAAGAGTAAGGCTACACGTAGCGATCTAATCGATGTGCTGGTGAATATTAAAAAGGAAGCAGTCGAAAATGGTGAATATAATGCCGAGATGCAAGATGTATTGACAGCGCAAGCTGCTGTATTTTTGACAGCTGGCTTCGAAGCGTCATCCTCAACAATGACATTTACCTTGTACGAACTATCTAAACGGCCCGATTTGCAAAACCGCTTGCGCAACGAAATATATGAAGCATTGGTGGCTGAAAATGGTAAATTATCTTATGAGACTATTAGCAATCTGCCATATCTGGGCATGGTGGTGGACGAAGTGTTACGTCTCTATCCTGTCTTGCCGATACTCGATCGCCAACATTTGCACAAGGATGGAGAAAGTCCATTTGATCTAAAACCATATTACGATTATACAATACCAAAGGATATGTCTGTTTATATACCGTTGTTTGCTATACAACGTGATCCTAAGGTGAGCTCGTACACTACTCATTACCGTCTCTGTGACCGACTTTAACAAAGTAAAATATAATTTCTTTTCTCTACTTTAGTATTGGCCGAATCCGAACACCTTTGACCCGGAACGCTTTAGTCCCGAAAATAAGAATACACACCCACCAATGGCATACATGCCATTCGGCAATGGTCCACGTAATTGTATCGGCAGTCGTATTGGTTTGCTGCAATCAAAACTTGGTTTGGTTCATATTTTGAAGGATCACTATGTTGCGACTTGTGCGAAGACGCCGGAGGAGATAACCTTTGATCCATTTTCTTTCGTTTTAAGTTATAAGGATGGCATTTACTTACGGTTTGTCAATGATAAGCTCTACGAACGGAGTGCAAATAAATGAGAGAATGGTTTAGTAGTGATTAAAAAACTATGTTTTATGTTTATGAGATTGCAAATCAAAAACTTTTTTAATTCAAAATAGAAAGAGCAGCGGTCTGCTCGTAGCCTAAACCTTAATTAAAGAATGATACCGGCTTCCAAAAATTCCAGTTCGACCATTTTTTGTACCGTATTTTAAAAACAACGCAAGAAATATGGTCTTCCAAGTCCCTATGGTCTCGAGCTTATACGCGTAGACAACCCACTTCACATTACCTCGAGGTCATGCGCTCACTAAAAGTTTACTACAATAAATTGATTGCTTCGTCGGCTGTATAGTATGTAGCGCCGTCTTCTTGCAATCAAAGGTCGTCCACAACAACATCCTCCATGTCTACGAGTGAACACTTCTCCAGTCTGCTGAACTGCACTGAAAGGGTAACAGTCGGAGTAGTCGAGCCGACTATGATGAGATTCGAATATCCATTGCCCGCTTAAAGAACAAAAAAGAGGCTAGAGCTCATGGCTTACTGGTAGAATTATTAATATATGGCGGAGAAGAGCTGACAAGGTTGATGCATCTACTTGTTGAAGGATATAATCGGACAGAAACACACTCAACGATTTGAACGTAAATGGGATCTATGCCAATTCAAGTGGTATAAGCCTCCTCAATATCGCTTATATGTTCATATTCGCACTCTCGTCTAGGCGCTCACTTCTCTGTTGACAGTCATAACCTCGAAGTCGTCTATTTTGGAATCAGCATTAATACCAGTAATAACGTCAGAATTGAAATCTAAACAATTGAAAAGTAAAGTCCTCTCTCTCCGAATGGATGAAAGCACTCCAACCTTGAAAGTTTCCAAAGAAGAAGATATCCTCTTTGCGCGATTATTATAGTTTAGGTACGAGACAGATATTAAATCGATTGCATGAATTTTAATCGAAAATCAAACCAATTTGTCCCCATCGCATCGAATATGTTCTGAAAGCTTTTCAGGTTAGTGGCTTTAGTTTTGATGAACTATATGTGTATCTTATGCCTCAGAGTTAGAAGACACGCTTGAAGCATACTCAGCTTTGAAAGTTGCATCAGTGCGATTCCACTTACTGGTGTTTTAGTCACATTTTGTTTCCAATTTCGGTTCATCTTCCTAGAGGAATTTCTATATGCCACGTCGCTCGACTAATAGAGGGGAGGATTCGCTATGGAGCGACTTGTCGCATTTTACGTCGATATATTAAATTGAAAGCGTGTTATATACAGCTTGTGCAAGAATTGAAGCCGCTCGACCTTCCAAGTTCTTGAAAAGTTCCAAGAAGATCTTTTGTTCAGAGATTAGGTCCATTTCTGGCTCAATGGTTATTTATGTAAACAAGCAAAATTTGGTCATTTAAGACGAAGAGCAATTCGAAGAGATTCAAGAGCTGCCATATCATCCAGAAAAAAACCGTTTAGTGTGGCTTTTGGGAACGTAAAAATAAATGGTGACCGTTATCCCGCCGTGGTAACTGACTATTGGTTGCCTGAAATTTAAGCTCCTCTCACTTCCCGCACATCGCATCAATCAATGGATCTATTGAGAGAACAGTTCAGTAAACAGTTAATTTCACGTTTTGGGCCGGTTCATTGCCTACCAAAATCCTATAAATTCACACCGCCAGACCTTTCCTTGTAGGGATATGTAAAGTTTAAAGTCTATACGGGCAATCACGCTTCGATTCCGAAGTTGGAGCAAAATATCACTCACGTCATTCGCCAGTTAACACTCGAAATGTTCGAGCGACTCATCAAAAATTGGACTCAAAGGATGGGCCATCTCAGACGTTCAAAAAGTAAATGTCTACTGTTGATTTTGATTATTAATTTTCCTATAAAAAATTAATTTAAATAAAAAATTAAGCTAAATTTTGTGATTGTGGTCGCCCCTCGGCAGGGAATGTCAACCCCTGCGAGTGTTCGGAGGCGGCTTAGTATAAACTGTAGGTCCCTCCGTTTGTTGGAAAACCCTCAAGTTGCAAAACCACAAATTGGAGGAGTAGCTCGGGGGAAAATCGCTTGAGCGGTTACCAAGCGCCAAAAAGTATCGATCACAAAAGCACGTGGTAAACATCAGATAAGTATCGAGTTTTTATGTAATCGATTTAAAATTGCTCATACGTAGTTCGAGTGCTCCATTCACTGGTAATAGAACTTAGCTTTATTCAAGTTAATGCTTTCTTTGAGACTGACACATGATTACTTTATGATCGCTCGTTTGGCACACGCGATCAACTTGAGTGACACTCCAAGTCATGAATTTGACATGCAAACTTAAGTTCAGTTCAGCCACTAAACTCTTATAAAATTATAATGAACATATTTATTGTTGGAAACAGCAACATTTCGTACTTCAAGCTGTTCGAAAAATGAAATAGAAAAAAATCTCGAAAATTATCCAACACACGCAAAGGTGCTATTGACCCAAGTTTAAATGCTTTAAACACTCAATTGACATACAAATTAAATAAATTAAATACTTTTTTATAAAACATCCTAACGCTGGTGCACTGGCCCTTGAAGGCCCTTAAAATGTATTGGATCTAAGTAACTTTCACTCATTCGCTTAGTACACACGGTCAAGTTGGTTTGGAAAGCAATACAGCAACAGAGAATTGGCGTTTACAGCTCACGCTCGCTTAGAGGACTACGCACCACATTCAGGTGTATGCCACCCTCAGCTTGTATCACAACGGCTTTAGGATCCAATTGCATGGGTATCTTGGTGAGCGGACAGGTGGTGACTTTGTGATTGAGCAGGAAATAGGTGAGTCCGATTTTCGTCTGCATCATAGCGAAACGTTCGCCAATGCAAGCGTGTGGGCCCAAGCCGAAAGGCATGTAAGCGTAAGGTGGCAGTTGTTTCTTATGCTCGGGTGCAAAACGCTCCGGATCGAATTTTTTCGGTTGGGGGTAAAACTATACGTAGAAAAACAGTGATGGTGTTATTAAATGAGAGTTCCTTAAAATAAAAAAAATAAAAACTTACTTTCGGATCCATGTGTAGACCATAAACGGGTACATAAACTGGCATACCATGTGGCAGCCGATATTTGTGATACGGTTCCAGCGAGTAACCGCCCTCTTCAGGCGGCGCGGTATATTGACGATCAAGAAATGGCAGCGGTGGATACATGCGCAACACTTCATCAATTACCATCTGCATATAAACCAATGTATCCAGATATTCGTAAGTGACTTTACCGCCACTAAGCGCTAAACCTGCCGCAATTTCATTACGCACACGCTGCTGTAAGTCCGGTTGTAACGCCAACTCATACAACGCAAAGGACATAGTCGCCGAGGAGGACTCGAAACCGGCAGTGAAAAAGAGCGCCGCCTGCGCGACCAATATATCACCCTCGTAAATGACGCCACTAGCAGATGTTTTGCTTTTCGTCGAATTTTTGAACTCAATTAGTATGTCAATGAGATCATTGCGCTTTGTGCCCGACTCCTCACGGTGCTTCATTACATAATTGATAGTGTTACGAAGAAATTCGGAAGAGGCTGGCGGCACAACTTTGAATTTAAGATACGGCACTAGATGCGGCATAAAGAAGACGAATAAGAATTCTAATGTACGACGCACACCAAACTTAAAGACGGCACGTCCATGTCGTCGAAACTCGCCATTGGGTACTTTAAAACAGTTCGCTTGCACGCCATAAGCCGTGGTGGCTATCACATCTGTGGTGTAGAGTGCGCAGAGTTCTTTCATTTCCATCATGAAGGACTTCGTTCCGTCACTTCCAATGCTTTGGGAGAGCAAATATTTATCAAGCTCACGTCCGACCTGTGGGTTAAGGAGAAATGCGTTTAATTAAGCTTATAATTCAATCTCATTTAGGGGCAAGCTCTACGTGGGATCCTTTATAAACAGGTTTAAAGTAATAGACATTGGAAGAGGGTATGGAAGAACTTATAAATAGTGGAACAAAACTGTTTTCTACGATAGTAAATTCGTCGGAGTGTATAGCCTAATGCAAAAGCCCGAAGAAGTGTGAACTAGGTTTTTAGCGAAATCAAACAAGGTCTTAAGCTTCATAGTGCGAAATGAAGAGCCGTAGGCGATACTATTTGAAGCGAGACTTTTGACCACCAAGCTTTAGCCTACATAATAAGCATTGGCAATTCTCCAAAAGAACTCTGGAAACACTCAGTTTTAAGGGATAATCCACATTATAATTTAAAGCTTGTTTACCGATAATAAAGTTATGAGTATAATATTAAAGATCCTCGGGACCGAATTTGGCTTTGAGCTTACTAACACATTCTTGATATTCTATAAAGCCTATCTCTAGTGAACATCTACTTTTTCGTCTGTAACATTGTGATTCGGCCGGCTCAACAGTCGAGTTTTTAGCATTTTGGGCCCTGGGACACCAACCTCCAAATAATAGAAAATTACTTTTTTATAATTGTAGTCACCCGTCGGCAGGGAATGACCCCTCCGAGTGTATTTATCACATGAAAAAGAGCTCCTCATTAAAACCCTTGAGCCATTCGGAGGAGGCTTAGTATAATCTGTAGGCTCCTTCATTTGTTGGTAATAAATCAAGTCGCAGAAACACAAATTGAAGAAGGAACTCGGACGAAAATTGCTTCAGCGGTTACAAAGCGCCGCTTATAATGGGCCATCCTGGGTTCAAGGACGCTTTCAAAACCTATCATTGATCATTTCTTTTCTTAAAATACACATGGGAGCATCAAGAGCTTCTGAAAACTTAAAAATTTTAATTTGAAATAGAAAATCTTCAGTTGAACCTATGAGAGAATATTGAGCTTCAAAATAAGACTTACCTCCTCAACTAATGGAAACATTTGTTTCAATTTTCCACTGGAGAAGAAAGGCGTCAACTTGAAACGCACCTCTTTCCAAGCGGGATTACGCAGAAAAAATATATTTAACGAACCCAATGGATCACATTTGGCGTCGGCATTGGAAAATCTAAAAGCAAACAAAGGCAGATTTATGTAGTACTCTTTCGAATAGACAATCTCTCAATTTCCACCGAACTCACCTGTCGCAGAACTTGGTAAAATCCTTCACTAAAATGCGTTTCACAAGCTCAGGATCACGCAACAAAATTGCCGGCTGCGTAAAGACATGCAAGCCAACAAACGGCTCATTCCTACCCTCCGAATGATTATACAAATTTTGCACAAACTCTGCTGGATTGGTTTGCATCGAAAGTAATTCACCCAAATTTCCAATACCATATGTGGTGGGCAAATACGGCACTTGATGGCGCTTCCAGTAGTCATAGCGATAGCGCAACCAAGCGTAGGCCAAAATGAGAAGGAGCAACAGGAGTAGTAAAGTTTCTAACCACATTGTGTGTCGCTGTTGACAACACGAACGGTACTAAGATGCCACACGCCCGGTATTAGGCGATTTATTGCTGTGCACCGTGTGGGTTGTGCGCCCTTTGATTTGATGTACTCCAAATCATGCGTTATTTTTAGAAACGTCGCTTCATTTTGGACCGGTAGTGAATATATAATGAGCAAACTGCTTGTGCGAGAAACTTATGAATGAGTTGAGAATTAAATTTGTATTGTATTTGTTTATATGTATGTATGTACTTACACGTTTGGGATTTTTGCATAAATGGGAGATCGCCGAGTTGTGATTACTTTGAATATTTTTTTTTTACTTCACGGTTAACAAATTTATGCCCTTTACACATCGAAAGTGCTTAAAAGTCGGTACAACATGTGATCTTAGATCTCTCCTGAAGGTATAAAGCTCGTAGAGTTCCTTGGATCTGCTGATTTTCTGACCCTCTCGCTAATAAGTTAAAGTAGATTGACACTAAAGCTAGCAATTATAGATGTTTAAAGACCTTTACAAAAGTACATCTACATCATAAAAGTACATCTACTTACGCAGGCGACGTGGTATAGATACAATTTTGGAAAAACCTCAAAACCCACACCAGGAGGAGGAGGTCAAAAGCCTCGTCAGCGACTCAAAATCGCCTATTTTATAACACATACATTCCTTCTGTAGACAATTAAAAAGCTTCTACATATCAAAAGCGCTAACGAATTCGCGCACTAACCCCCAACATTACTCTTATATAGAGGAGCTGTAGAGCATAAGGAGCGTATCCTAAGTGTTTTCTGAACATAAGTCGAACATTCAGCAATATCCGCAATAATGTCATCGTGTATAGACTGGAAGAAGCGCTGACAAAGCCTGCTATTCTCCTATAGATAAGGTTGCTTTGAACTACGAAACGAAAACATAAATGCGAAGTGGGAAGTGGGAAGTAAGAAGTGGGATAAACCCAGACTGCACATACACTCAAGGTAGTATATTGTTAACGCTCTTGTGGTCACTTACAGCAAACGAGCTTCTGAAAAGTTTCGAGTCTCTTTCAGGCTGCTCGATCATTGCAGTGTGGCTGAAATTTCAGCCTTTATTAAGGCAGCAAACTACGTTGGAACTGAACTCTCGAGAAAGGATATCTTTATTTTCAGCAATAGTCAGGCAGCGATTAAGTCACTTGGCTCACTTCTGCAGCCGATACCTGCTAGAGATGGCCAAAAAGAACGGATTATCTATCTCTCATTTGAGTGCATGGTCAAAGGGACGTAGAGAGAAATTTTAAGGCACTTGCCATGCAAGGCACAACCCAGCTGATTCTTCCTGACAACGAACGCGTTGGTATGCTTTTAGCTACATGAAAACTGCTACTAAGAAACTCTACTGGCTGAGCAGGCTGAATAAAATAGAACCACACTGCAACTTGCTAGGCAAACTTGAGCGATACATCTCTAACACTGATAGGACGACATGTGGCGATACTGTAGAAGATGTAAGAACGGTGATGAGCAAGAAACAGAATCTCATCCTCTATGTGACTGCCCAGCCTTGAACAGAGCTAAGTGACGATATCTAGGAGCTGCGTTAATGGATGATTTGTATAAGATAGCAAACATCAAGATGAATTATCCAATAAAATTTATGAATTAATCGAAGTGAAAGATAGTGAAGCTTAGTGACTGGATAAACACCGTGGTATCGCAAGTATTTGTGTTGATGCTCCCACATCGATAGTCCCATAGTTTCCCTTCTTCCGGCATTCTTCTCCTCTTCATTGATATATTTGCCATCGCTCTAGCTTGTTTAGTTCGCCTGCTGTGTCGTGTTGAGTGAACGTGTGTTCGTGGTGCTCGTCGACGAAATGCACGAAAATAGAAAAATCAGCACCCGGAAACCAAGTGCCAAAGCTCACAATGGTTGTCTTCGCACGAAAAAATGGCACGAGTAAGTCGAAGGTGAAAACCATGATTATTGCCTTTTTTGATAGCCGTGGAATCGTTCACAAACAATTTATTCCGCCGGGGCAAACCACAAATCAAGTCTACGAACGCCAAGTACTCGAAAGATTGCGAAAACGAGTCAACAGGGAACTGAATCCTTCATCACGATAACACGCCGTACCATACCGCCCTCAACGTGTCCCAATGTTTGGTCTCTATTTGGTCTGAAATGTCACCCTATGACTTTTTTGTTCTTTTACTTTGAAGGGGATTTCAGAGTTCTAGAATGATTTTGAAATATACGGTTATTATGATATCAGTCTCATTACTTAATTGTCACATCTCGTATTATCTAACATAGCCCATAGTTGTTTAGTCGAGATGACCTAAAAATTAAACGAACAGGTCGGTGGTTTTATTAATTCTTATACTATTATGTCTTGTTTAGTGCCTTCCTCAGCGCCTCTACTTCCTTAAAATCCTTGCATATCGCACCTTTTTCTTTTGCAACATTCTCTCACTTAACGATTTTCTTATCTTTTCAGCTCCCCAGACGTTATGTCAGCTTACAGTTACCACCATCTTGTCACAATATTTCTCATCTTCATCATACTAACGCTCTTGCAACTACTCTACCATCACCGCTACAGTTATTGGTATTACCGTAAGATACCATATCTCGAGCCGACCATATTTTTGGGAAATTTACGACCGTTACTTTTTCTACGCACATCTTTTGGTGATTACTTTCGCGCACTTTACGCTGAACCGACATTCAAAGCAGCGCCATTTTTCGGTTTCTTCATACTGCACACACCCGCTTTGCTCATACGAGATCCACAACTGATCGAACAGTTATTCGCAAAAGAGTCTAATAGTTTTCCCAATCGTTATGAGGCGGCCGATCTTGAGTGTGATACTATGGGCGCTTTGACGTTGCCTTTAGCTAAATACAGCATATGGCGTAAGAGCCGACGAGAGATCTCCAAACTATTCACTAGTGGACATATGAAAAAGAAAATGTATCCGAAACTCATAACGCTCGCTGAACACCTAGAAGGGTATATCACGCGTAGAATGGCACAAGATGATCGCCGAGCAACTGCACATAGCGTGTCAACAGTGATAGAGGTCAAAGAGATGTGTGCGCTGTATACGACAGACGTCACCGCCACTCTATTGTATAGCATCGAAACGGCAGGTTTACTGAATGATGGCTGTGAAATGCGCGCTCAGTGTGAGCAACTATTTCAGCCCAATCTACGCAAGATAATCGATTTCTTTACTATATTCTTCCTGCCCCGAGCAGTGCGTGCGCTTAGATCCAGAGTATTCACGCAACGATATGCAAACTATATGCGACAACTAGTCGAGTTACGCACTAAAATGATCGACGGCGCTCATGAGAGTGGCGACCTTATCGAATTATTGATGAAAATGCAGAAGACCTTGAATGATTTACGGCCGCAAAGTGTTTGGTTGAGGCATCCAGATTTTATTCCAGCGCAGGTGGGTATTTTCCTATTGGCTGGCTTTGAGACATCCTCGTCACTGATCGCGTTCATTTTATACGAGCTAGCGAAGCAGCCGAGTATACAGCAGAAATTAAGAGATGAAATACATGCTTATTCGCGTGGAACACCGAAATCACGTTTAAGTTATAAGCAAATACAATATATGCGTTATATGGATATGGTGGTTGCGGAAGGCTTACGTTTATATCCGACAGCGCCTTTCATAAATCGTGAGTGTTTGCCGAAAGGTTATCAGCAAACATTATGGTATGAGCAGAGAAAGAAATGTCTAAATATACCCAAGGGTGTGCCTGCCTACGTCTCTATCTTGGGCCTACACAGGGATCCAAAGGTAAGGTTTGCATAAAGCTCACTCAGTGTATACGAATTATGGTAGTTAAATGAAAAGTATTATGGTGTAGGAACTGTAAACCAAAACACATTCCCATGATGTTGAAGTATGTCGGGTGGGTATAACCTCTGAATAACAAACAGGCTTTCAATCACTTCTGTAACCTCTGGAACTAATTCAAATTTAGTGGAATTCACTGCCACGAGCTAACGGGGGCGTACTTATACATGTTTAGTAGCCGAAGCCTAAAGACATCTTCTTATAAGTATACATTTTCTAACTAGCCATATACTTGTACTGTATGAATGTGGGAAAGGGTTCTTCGTCTCCTCTGAAGTGATTTTCGGCCGACTTCTACCCTGATTTTTTGGTTTGGATTTTACTGTTTTTCCAACAAACCTGCAGCTGTAAAATGCTCAGGAACAGCTAATTCTTACGAAGGAATATTGGCTGACATTTCCTGCTATGAACTGACCGGTCTGGATTCAAGCCCCATGTCATACACATAGTAGTCGCCAAGTCTACAGAAGTAAGCAACTATACAATGTAGATTACTCAGCAGAAATGAGACATGCAACCATAGGGGACTAATTTACGTAGTCGCAGCGGTGTAGAGAGGAACTTCAGTACAGATTAATGGGAAGGTACGACTAATCAGATACCCGTACAAAGAAGGAATCGGTATGCCTCTGGATACATAGAAACTGTTACGTAAGGATTTCATGTACAGCAGACTGGTGCAGATTAGTAACAACAAAACTCATTCTCAGGAAAGTCAAATGCAACCTTATCGAAATTTCACCGTAAGAGGGCAAATGACTGATACTTACTGAAGGAAAACGTTATCTCAAAGACGATTGGGATCTGGACAAAACATCACTTAGAGGATAACATGTAGAAAGCATGCTGCAGCTGGAATAGAAATGACAAGAAGTCTTAAACGATTTATGCAATTCTATACTCTAAGCAAAAAAAGACTTCGGAATTGCCGCAATTCCAAGCCGCATCTAAATGGACAATGGATTTTCACAAGGAGCTTTAATTTTCATATCAGAAATACGCTACAAGTGCTTAACAGTTCCCGCCGATGGGCAAGTGGCACTAGAAAAAATAAATTTCTATAATTTTGATTGTTTTGTCAAACAAAGATTCAAACCGTTCCGGCGTTCCGAATGGCAGTGCGCAAGGATAGCCTTATCCTTTAGGTTAAACTATCATTTTTGATATCACACAGAGCTTACTATTTGGGCTAAGGAAAAGTTTGTTGATGTTGCCAAACCGGGAACAGCTTCCGGCTTCCCAACATATCTTTCCATTCAAACTATAATTCTTCTGGTTGCACTCATAATGAACAACATAAAGCGTTGAGTTGAGAGGGCAATGCATTTAGAAATGCCAAAATTTTCAAAGTCAGTAGCTACAGCACACCTGAACTTAGCCACCTCTGTTCTTGATTCACCAGAAAAGTTTATCGTAAATTTTCTCTAAGAAGACTGGGAGTTCCTTTTAGGAGATACTCGTATTGCAGAAGCTGAAAGAACGATGAGGCGGAAGAAACGGTCTGCCATATTTTAGGTGACTACCTTGTGTTGAGCAGAGCTAGCCTTTCATAACTGGAAGCTACTTTCCCCGTTGATATGTCTAATATATTATAGCAGACATCAAGACACATATTTAGGGAAATTTTTAAAAGAATCGAAACTTTCTGATCGGGTCGAGAAGTGGCCTACTTTGGCCCACTTTGGTATTGTTGTTCTCATATCGATAGCCACTTCTACTTAACCTAACCTAAAATTACTTTAAACATTATTTAAACAAATATTTGTTAAATTTTTTTAATTTCTTTCAGTACTGGCCCAATCCACAACTTTACGATCCAGAAAGATTTTCGTCCGAAAATCTGCCGTCTATTAAACCAATGACTTATATACCGTTCGGTGTTGGCCCTCATGGTTGTGTTGGCAGTCGACTGGGATTACTGCAAGTCAAATTGGGTTTAGTATATATATTAAAGCGACATCGTGTCGAGTTGTGCGAGAAGACAATGAGTGAAATTCAATTTGATCCAAAAAGATTTATGCTGGAAGCCAAAGGAGAGCTATACTTGAAATTTGTGAAGGAAAATTAAGGTGTATGTGTGTGTGTATATAAAGTGCTGTGATTATATTTATTTTGTACTAATAAATAATTAATTAAACTAAAATTAAAATAATATTTTTCATTAAAATACGAGAGGGTTGTCTTCTATATTTCGGGAGTAGACAACTCTAATGTTGCAATCTGCCAACGCTAGTATTGCAATCTGTCAAGTGGCAATTTATCGTAAAATTTGACAGTTTTGATGTCAGACATACTCAGAACGTTTCGTCATACGAGCGTTAAATGTGTCGTCTACAGTAACTTAAAATACTCATATCAGCCACAATTGAAATTATATCGCGAACATTTTGGCGCCATTCTTTTTAAAAACTTTCGACAACAATTTTCTGCGTTGAAGCTTCATTAAGTACCAGTGTTTATCAATGGTACGGTGAATTCAATCGAGGCCGTAGATCACTCTAAGACGAATTTCGTGCAGGTCGTCAAATGTTAGAGATTTTTTTCACCTTTGCAGACGTTAGTGAGGCCAGCATACATTCAATACAGCTCCAACCTGACTGTAAAAAAAATTACTCAAATTGGATACCACGCACGCGAGTTGTCAATCGCCCAAAAAAATAGAGACTCGTTGCGTAGAGAAAGCTTGGAAACACCACTATGATATCGTTAGTGGTGACTAAATGAGGATTTACGTGTATGAGCTTAAAAGTAAACAGCTCTCGGGTGTATGGATGTTTAACGTTCAGCTGAACCCAACAAAATTTGTTCGCGCACGAAGCACTACCCACCGAGTTGTTGCTTGTATTTTTTTTATATTTTTCTTTTTTTTTGGAAAAGCTAGAAAAGTCGCAACTGTACCCACGAGAGTTCAGTTGAGTTAAGTTGATGCGGCTGCTGTTGCCAGTACACTTATGCCAATCGGCCCATTGTGATACCGCTGAGGCTCCTGCCTTCACCTTCTCAGATGATCGAACCATTTTGTGTGCCTTATAAAGGCAACGCTATCTCAGCAAGACAATCGAAGAAATTTTTCCCAAGAAGTTTGTGTCGCGCTGATGTCAAGGCTAGACAGTGGCAGCGGTAGTGCTCAATGGCCTCCTCCTCTTCTCTATAATTGCAGCTGCGGCAGAAATCATTAGAATGATATCCCATTCTTTTCCCGTCTTTCTGAAAAACCAACAAGCGAAGATACATCACTCTTCACTAAATTTGCCAGCTCACACCCATCGGCTGAAACAAGAGCATTTTTGAGCACTCAAAACATCGATTTGACAGTTCGTCCGCCACATAGTCCTAACTTGGCACCGCATGATTCCTTTTTATTTCCATTCTTTGACACCAGAATAGGCGGTTGATGCATAGATGTATACATCCTAATGGAGGATATTTTGTTCCCCAAATTTAAGAGCCCTCTTACTTATATTTGAGTAAAGACAAAATTTTCCATAATTATACTATAATGTGAATTACAATATAAATTACAAATAAATTATCTTGTATGACCTCCAAAGGAGTCCGCTAATCACAAAAAAAATCTCAAAATAACGGATCGCGTACAACATTCAAATGAATACCACCCACAGGCTGTATGATGATGGCACGAGGATCCAATTGAATTTTCACCGCCGTCTTATCACAGACCGTCACATAATGATTCCGATAGAAATAGAGTAGACCCAACTTCGTTTGTAACATAGCGAAGCGTTCCCCAATACAGTTGTGTGGACCAATACCGAAAGGCATGTAGGCGTTCATATTATTCTCATGCTTGTTCTCCGGTAGGAAACGGTCGGGATTAAAAGTTTCAGGATCTTTGAAGTGCTGTAAAAAAGAGAAATTGACTTAAAACTACTTTCCGGCCGCCTAACATAATTGAAAAAAAAAACCTAACCTGCGGATCCATTTGTATAGCCTGCTGTGGTATATAGATCGGCATATTAGCAGGTACATTAAAGTCCATATTGAACGCCTTCAATGAATAACCCTCTTCACCAGCCTTTGGCGTACAAACGCGGTCGAGGAATGGTAGTGGTGGATAGTGACGCAAAACCTCTTTCACCACATTATCCATATACTTCAGACCCATTATCATTTCATAGGTCAACTTGCCATCATTACTCAGGAATGCTTCACGCACCTCCTCACGCAAACGTTGCTGCAAGTCCGGATTACGCGCCATTTCATACATAGTGAACGACATGGTCGTTGAAGAAGTCTCAAAACCCGCAGAGAAGAAAATCGCCGCTTGCGCCGCTAAAGCATCACGTTCCAATATAAATGGTTTCTTACCTTCCTTCGCTTCTTCTTCGGCCTCACGTCGAAATTTAATTAAAATATCAATGAGATCATTACGTGTCGTACCTGTGTGCATACGTTCTTCCATCGTTCGATTGATTGTGTCGCGCAGAAAGATGGTGGTGTCGGTTGAAAAGACTTTGAAACCGAAAAATTTTACCACGATTGGTAAGAAAAAGAAAGCTTTAGCCTCCAGTGATCGTAGCCAGTTGAAAGTGAAAATCTTTTTGCCGTTTCTACGGAAAATACCATTCGGATCGTTTAGACTGTTCGCTTGTAGGCCATAGGCAGTGATTGCTATTACATCGGTTGTGTAGAGTGCATTCGGCTCTTTTACTTCTATCACAGTAGAGTTAGTTTTCGCATCCACTTTCAGTGAGCAGAGATATTTATCATATTCTCGGGCGACCTGTAAGTAAAAAAGTATTCCAGTTAAGGAATGAACGAGAAGCTACGGGTAATGAGGAGTTTTGATCGTAATGTCGTTCGTTAGGGTTGAAATTTAGCGATGTCGCTCATACGCCCTGCCAAATTTAACAGTTGTGTGGTAAATATTATTAACGCTATATAAGCGCTGAGGGGATTTCGACCAAGCTCATCCCATCCTCCAATGTTAGTGCGTTTTGATATTTTTCCCACAACTGCAGTGACCGAAAGTTTATTATAAGTACCTCTGAATGGCTGATAGATTTTTATGAGAAGTTTCTATTTCATGTCAGAAATACACACGAGGGAGTTCACATTCTCTGCCGAATAGTCTACATCTGCGAATAGTCTTCATCTAGTTTAGCCGAAGTTTAAACCAATGCGGCTCATGCAGCCGTTAATCTTATTTAATTGGGAAAATATTGTAGACACGAACCATTATTGAATATACCAATGTGTAGGTTCGGATTTATTTCAACTAATTGCTGCGGATGGGTATATTTACGATGATTTGGATGTTGATATGGATGTGACTCTATATCATAATATGGATATAGATAAAAAAAATGATAAAAGGGAAATAGGAGTATGGATAAGGTTATGGAATAGGTATGGATATGAATGTGGATATAACTAAGTATATGGTATGGAGATGAATATTCTATTCTATGTATATGCTGATGGCTGAGCATAAGGATGAAGGTATTGATTTGGAAACGAAAAGTTATGGATATGCTTAAGGATATGAATATGAATATGAAATCTGACACGATCATATATATATGTATGAGGATATAGCTATTGCTATTTATATGGTAATCGATATAAATATAGAGTAAATGGAAATAATGTGAATATAGGAAAGTATAATAGTATGGATATGGATATGGGTTCGAACAGGGTTACGGATATAAATCTTCCTTTATTCTACCAAATCAATTTCATTCCCTTCAAAAAGTTATCCTTTTGCAATTTAATACACTTATGCCAACATTACTTCCAATCGTCGGTGCATGACAAAAAATAATTTTCTGGTATAGCGTTCAAAACGCGTGCCCTTTGCATCTCTTCAATCGAGTCGAATCGGTATCCTCGGAATGAGTTTTTCGGTTTGTAGAATAACCAGAAGTCACACGGAGCTAAATGAGGCCAATACACTGGTAACGGAATGATATGGGTGGAGTTTTACTGGTAGGAGGGCAGTGTGCGATGATGCATTATGTGGTGAAAATTTGTTGGCCCAAATTAACTCTCAAAAAGATTTTTTCTAATATCTCCGATATTTCAACATCCAAGCCTCGTCTTCGACCCTTTCTTGATCCTCTCTGAGCAACTAGTATCACTGAGAAATCATAGTTTTCGATAGAGCTTGCTAACCGAAAGCCTTCTGCTGGATACTGGGGTGCCCCACCGTCGGATTTTATTTTCGCCTCTTCTCCCTTTTGCAACGAGAACGTTGCACTTTATGCACATTTTTATCTTTAACTCCGTACTTACAGTTCGAGGACTATGTTAACCTAGTATCACGGGAGCGTTGTTCATTATATCGTCTGGAAGGGAAAACCTTCGTTTAAAATTATGTTAAAACTTAATGTGCTGATGAAGCTATGAATCGTTCAAGTAAGGGGTGTGACAATTATGTATCATGAGACTGATTATATTGCCGGAATTGTGGTAACCCTGCGTCCTGGAAATTCCCTTTCCCTTCTCCCGGCATCTTTCTCCTCTGCATCGATATATTTTCCCTCGCTCTAGCTTGCTTAGTTCGCCTGTTGTGTCGTGTTGAGTAAACGTGTGCTCGTGGTGCTCATCACGAAAATGGAAATACGAAATCAAAAGCAACGCGTCGCGATAAAATTTTGCGCCAAATTGGGCGAAACAGTTTCGGAAACGTGCGATAAAATTGTAAAAGTGAATGCTGATAGTGCCCTTAGTCGTGCCCAGCTGTTTCGATGGCATAAAGAGTTTGAGGAGGAGCGTGAAAGCGTGGAAGACGAGGTACGGAGCGGGAGATAAACCGAGGAACGATGATTATTATTTTTCGCCAAGTACTTAAAAGATTGCGAAAACGAGTCAAAAGGGTGCGCCCAGACATCGCTCGTAACTGGATCCTTCACCATGACAACGCATCGTGCCACACCGTCCTCAGCATGTCCCAGTATTTGGCCTCTAAAGGGATCGCCGTGTTGCAACAACCGCCTTATTCGCCCGATATGTCATCCTGTGACTTTTTTGTTCCCTAGAACAAAAACGGGGGTCAAAGGAACCCATTTTGAGTCGATTCAGAATATCCAGGCGGCTGTGACGAGGGTACTCGTGAACATCCCAGTCGAAGCGTTTCAGAAATGTTAATAGGCATGGAAAACGCACTGGAATCCAAGAGGACTCCTTTGAAGGGGGTGCCAGAGTAGTAGAATAATTTTGAAATAACGGTTTTGATGGAATCAGTCTCATTACTTAATTGTCATACCTCGTATGTACAACAGGTATCGCGAGTTTAAAAACAAACGCACGCCTGTGTATGATGTGCAGAGGATATTAAGATTATACACAGCCAACGTCACGTAAGAGCTGATCAGCTCGTTTAAATCGAATGTCCTGATGTATTTCGCGTATTATTAAAGCTTTAAGCTGGCAAGGAGATAGAGGAGGTGATGGAAAAGTGGACGAAGTACCCCGCCATACCACCTTCATAGCCTGGAATGGATACTATGTCGCAAAATGATTTACATTATGTACTAAAGTCGCGCGGAATTTCTTTGTTTAAATAAAAAAAAAAATTGAAACCTACAAAAATTTCACAAACTTGGTTTCTGGACATGTCACGTGTTCTATATAATACTTTTGTTTTGCTGCTATCAGGTAAATTTCAATTAGTTTATAATTTTAAATTAATTTTCTATTTTTCCAAGCGCCCTTGAAACTCGTTCTATTGTACATTTGCATGCCACTCAATTTCATTTCATCAATTGCTTTTCAAGTTTGTCCGCCGTTTGATTTAATTAATTTATTTATTTACCGTTGCACTTTATGCACATTTTTATCTTTAACTACTATACTCGTACTTTTCACAACTACTAACCCCTTCGATCAACGGAAACATTTGTTTCATTTTGCCACTCGTGAACACCGGCGTTAGCTTCACACGTATCTCCTTCCATGTGGGATTTTTGGCGAAAAATAAATTATCCGAACCCAATGAATCCGAATGTGGATCCGAGGAAGTATAGCGATTTGAAAAGTAATTAAAATCTTTGATCATAACGGTTTTGATCAACTCCAAATCGCGTATGAGTAGCGATGGTTTATTGAATATATATATACCGACCGCAGGATGTTCCTTAGCCTTCTCATGATTATATAAATACTGAAACCAACCACAAGGATCGCATTCGGATTTGATAATCCCCTTGAGATTACCAAAGATCAGCGCCGGTTCGATATAAGGCAACCGTTGACGCCGCCAATAAGAATATTGATATTGCAGCCAAATGTAAACTGTGGCGCAGATGAAGGCCAATGTGGCTAGGATCTCTGTTAGATTGTTAGTTAATGCGCCAGCAATACCGTTTAGTAGCTTCAATAAAATCATTTTATTTTTTTCAATAGGAAAGTATTTAATTTTTAAATGATTTTTGAATATATTTTCTATATAAATTCTTTTAAATCACAATTTATGCATTCACATTTTCAAATTTGCTCGTTTGTTTGAATTTGACAACACCACCGTTGTTGTTTCACGTATACTGATCACCGGCGGCGAATGCTTGAGTGCATTTATACCGTTAAATTAAGTGCAAGAGTAATAACAAAGTACTTATCATACAGAGCCAATTAAGTATTAATTCAAGTACCTGGTAGTTCAGGGTGTTCCATTTCGTGTTTTCGAAAAGAAACGTAAATAAAATGCGTTTGAAATAATTGCTTCATAAAAGTTATCATTTTTTTAATGCTGTTACTTTACAGGCGTAGACACCGCTTACGCAATTATAGCCGATTTACAATAATGCGCCATTCGTTTCTTCTTTCTGCTGTTTGGCGCCAATTGGAAATACCAAGCACAGCCAGATCCTTCTGCACCTGGTCGCTCCAATGGAGTGGAGGTCTTCCTCTACTTCCACCGGCGGGTACTGCTTCGAAAACTTGACCTAGCCAGCGTAGCCACTGCTTCTTGATTCGCTGAACTATATGACTGTTGGCAAGAGTGATTCTGCGCTGGATTTCAAGTCTGACAGGAGATATTTCGTCTTGCCCTCCCATATATTCATATGCATTAGCGAATTTTTGCAAACTTCGATTCGTAGTTAATTTTCAATCACTTTTTGACACATATTGCACGGTATCTCAGCAATAACTTGACAAATGTTAGCTTTTCAAGTGATTAACAGTTAAAGTTCTATCCGCGTAAGCACAGTCTTTTGCGTATTGCCACAAAGAAAAAAGTCCAACAGTGTTAAATCGCACTAACTCGGTGCCCAGACCAAGACAAGAGATTACTCAGCCGAGAAATTTTCTCTCGCAATAAAGCCATATTCCCTCGTGGTGTGTGGCATCATCTCGTTGAAACGATATATTAGACGTGTCCATCAGTCGCAGACCAGAAAAACCAGCTTATCATATCATATTAGTGACAGTCTCGCCATTGTCGTTTCAAAGAAGTCTTTTTTTCTTTGGGTATAAGTTATTTGAGGATTCTCGGAGTCCTAAAAGCTTTTACTATGCTTGTTTACGTTCCTCCTCAAAATGAGAAATGTGCCACGATGCTGAGGAAAGTTTTACGGCGTTAGGAATGGTCAGCTGGCTTCTCTTATTTTGTGAGCTGCACTCTATATGGATGTAGCTGTGCGAGGTGTGATCAGAAAATAACCGTTTTTTTTTTTATTCTTTGCAAAAAGTATTTATTTATTCTATTTATTCATCAATAACTATCTTGTACCCTTCAAAGTACTACCCTTCAGATATTATACACTTTTGCCAGCGCTTTTCCCAATCCACGAAACACTTCTGAAACGCGTTTCTTGATATCGCCAATAGCTCAGGTTTCGATTTATCTTTCATCTCCTCAATTGTAGCGAAATGCTTTCTTTTCCTTCGTTGTCTTCAGTTTTGGGAAGAGGAAAAAGTCAGCGGAGGCCTAGTCCGGTGAATACGGTGGTAGAAGCATGATAATGGGTTTGTTTGTGGCCAGAAACTCAGGCAAAAGCATCGATGTCTGAGCTGGTGCGTTATTATGGTGCGAAATCTATGTTTGTTTTTTCCACAATTCTGTGCGTTTCATCCGAAAACATCTGTAAAAATTGTTTACCCTGAGCCGAACAATTTGCCAACATCATCAGCAACGTCTCTGATAGTGATTCGATGATTATCCAAAATCATTTTCTTCACTGTTTTAATGTTTTCATCGGTTGTTGACGGGCACGAACATTGTCATTGACATCTTCTCAAACAAACAAAATGACTGATATTGCCAACATATATAACAGACATTTGTACCAACATAACAATGTGTCATAAGAAAGCTCCAGCTCTTGAGAACGCCAAAAAATAGACACATTCGAGTCTTCTGCGCTACACTTTCACTTCAATTATAGTAGCGATATTTGAGGGGGGAGCGCGCAAAACGATGATGCTTAGGCCTTACAATATCTATAGCCGATGCAGTCACCGTGAGATTCTTTAAAATTTAACAAATTCCTTGAGCAGTTGAACGACTATCCGTCTTGAATCACCATTTTCTTTTAGTAACGACATTGTGCGACTGTTAATTGAACCATTTTCATATTGCTGCACTGTTAATTGAACCGAAACATGTTTGGTTTGACAATTAAATTTAGCAGTTGCCAAAATATAGTGCTGTTCATTTGAAACCAGAAAATGGATAACCCTATATATGTTTTTTGCAAATACCAACTGCAATGTTACAGTTATTTAATTTCACTTTATTATTAAGTATTTTCAATTGTTTCATATTTGTTTTGATCTGTTGTTATTGTTTGACTTTACATAATTATAAATACATAATAAAGGGTGTTTTTTTTAGATTTTAGAAATTACCGAGAAAACGATTCCCCCTCCTCCTACTCCTCAGCAGCTTTAGCAAAAGGCGTTTGAGAAGCAGCTCATCCTTCCAATATGAGTCCCCATAATATGGGGTTTGCTTATTGCGCAGATTGTTATGTTTGTAGATGCCCTGTTTAGAATCTGTAACGACATAGTTATCCAATCAACAGCCTTGGCCAAAAGTATTAGGCACCCCACTAATTACTGAATTTTTTGCTTTTAAATGTGAAGTAATGAAGTTTTATTTGTAAAACAGTGAAAATACAATGAATTAATGATAATAACATTAATATTTAGTAGGTCCACCCTTCGATTTAATAACGGCAGCAATTCTCTGAGGCATGCTGCATACGAGCTTTGCATATTCGTCCGCACTTATAGCGTACCTCTCGGCATTCCTTAGGGCAGTTTTTGTTATACTGTTATACTGTATTCCTTAATCTTGCGTTTTGAAATAGCCCACTTGTGCTCAAAGGGATTAAAATCTAGAGACAGATGTTCTTTATTTTTAGAATCTTGTTATCTCTAAACCAACCCATCGTAGTCGCTGATTTGTGACAAGGAGCATTGCCTTGCTGAAATTGAACCCCGTCTAAATTAGTATTGCCGAAAATGCGCGAAGGCATACCCTCGCAAACGAACAATTCCCCGACACCATCAGCAGGCTTGCAGCCCCAGATCATAATGCTGCCTCCTGCATGCTTAACAGTGGGTACCACGCAATCTGGATGGTATTCTTCCCCAACTCGCCGCTTATATTAGGTCTTCAAATCTGCTCTAGGATAAAGAGCTGTGGCTGTTAATACTTTTAGACGATCTTAACTAAGCTTACCTTGAAGTTTGATTCATCAGACCACAGAACATGAGAGCAATCTTCTTCCGTGAAATGTTGGTAGCGGCGAGCCCATTCCAAGAGATTTTTCCTATTCTTTTCTGAGAGCCACGAGCTGTTCGTGCACTAACTGGTCTACTAAATTCATTCGAAAGGGCAGCTGCAAAGAAGAGACTCGCATCACATTGACCGCGTACCGCGAACATCTCACCAAATTGACAATCTCAACCTGAGGCTTACCTTCTTCACTTAGAACTTGAATTTTAACTCTATCATCGTAACTAATTTCACTTTTTTTTGGCATTTCGGTAAATATGAACTGTTTTTATGAGATTGGTAACTTTTCACTAACCGTAATTTACACTTTCAGTTTTAAATTTTAAATGCGAAAATATTTTATGAATTTCTTAAAAATGACAATTTTTAGGTTTAACTTACCCAGAGTGCTGTGACTTTTAATATCACACAATTTATTCGTTTAATCAACAGTTAAAAACCCATGTAAGACATTTACAAAAAGATGTGGTAATTTTGATAGCCACTTTTGAGAATACTTGTATTTTAGTGGGGTGCCTAATACTTTTGGCAAAGGATATATATTTGATTGGCCATACTGCATACGGCTTCACTCTGTAAACTGATCTCCAACGGCGAGTGTATGAACGCTTTTATACCCTTAAAGTCAATGCATAAGTAATAATAAAATTCCAAACATTCACAGCCCTGTAAGTGTTGAGTATTTGCATCTGGGTAAGAGTTTATTCCCTGTAGGAAAAAATATAGTTCTTTACTAGTTAAATACTAGTTGAGTTGAGTTGAGTTGATGCCGCTGCTGGTCAACCCCAGCACGATAAGGCCAATAGGTCCATTGTGATACCACTGAGGCTCCTGCCTTCACCTTCTCAAATGGTTCGTTCATTTTGTGTGCCTTGTAAAGTTAACGACATTTCCAATGCTCACTGTGGCCAACGCAACGAGACAGTCGAAGATGTGTTTCCCATGCAAGGCTGGACAGTGGCAATTCTTACAAGGTTAAGTTGCGTAGTTCCTGTATAAATCCAGAAGAAGGACGTATAGAAGAGTTAGCAGTGTTTTCAAGGAAGTGGATAGCATAGCTCGCGTTATCGGTATGGCCGCCGATCGTTGAACTCTCTATAATTTGCTCCTGAAGGTGATTTTAACGAGTGTGGTACTAGTTCATTTAGACAGAAATAAAAATTAAATTAAATATAAATCTATCTTCAGCGCGACTCGAAACGGTGAAATAAACAACCGACATAATATCTTCTTCAATATACTAGTCTATCTTCTTGCCGATATGTATATATTTATCTAAAGGGTATTTGGTCTTTTTGACAGATGTTACATGATTTATACTCAGTTTTGTTTGCCATTTTATAATTAACAGACTTATACAGGCACAACGTTTACAAATCGTGCTAATTTGTTATCGATTCAGCGCCCACTGCGCCCAATGTTCGGTCGACATAATCAACCAGTGGAGTCGGTAATTCGAGCAATTGGATTGGTTTGCAACGCTGTTATTGTAGTGGATAATACGCGTTCTTCGAGACGCCGTGCACTACCCACCGAATCTCCGGTACCGCGCGCACCAATTAGAGCTGTACTCATCCACTTCATGGAAAATTTTACTGAAGGTCTTTTGTTTTAGGGCTTACAAAATCCAACTCGTGCAAGAATTGATGCCCAACGACTGTTCAGCGTGTCGCACGTTAGGTGAAAGAGCCCGAAATGAGATGGCCACCGAATCAAATTTTCACAAGAATATTTTATTCAATGATGAAACTCACTATTTGTTGAATGGGTAGGTTAATTGGAGTGGTTATGATACACAATTCAG